TCCAATGGGAGTGACCCATTCGGTCTCGTGGCGTTTGGATGAGGTCTGCGTGGGGTTGGTTGCCAGGCACTGATGGTGATGGATGAGGTGTTGTCGCCTTTGTCGTTCTGGATTTGGTAGGTCAGTGGGGTGTCCGTGTCTGGGTGTGGGTTGTTGGGGTCCGTTGTGGCCGGTGGTGCCGCCGTGAAGTGCCACGGGCTGTTGTTGCGTTGTGCTCTTGGGGCTCCAATGGCAGTGATGTTGTTGAATCCCTGTGCTTTGGGGAATGCTTCGAGTGCAGAGGCCCCAGTGCAATGGTGGGCCGGTGGCTGTGAATCTTGTTGTTTGCTTGGGGGAGGGCGCCCGTCCTCTGATGCCGAGGTAGGAGTTGCCTAGGCCTTGCTTGTGGGCCAGCCCTTGGTCCTCTTTGTGTGCCAGGGCAGTGACTCGTGTGCAGTAGTCGATGTCGGTTTCACCGGGTTGTTTTGGGATCCATTGAACGGTGTCCTTGGGTGCGCCGACATGTGTGAAAATGATGCCGTTGTCGCCTGATTTCTTGGCGAGGGCAGTGGCAAGGTTTGGCTTGATTCGGATGTATCCAGTCAGTTGGTTTGTGCGTTGTTGCTCAGTGATTCGCCATCCGAATGTGCGTGTTTCGATGTTGAGTGTTTCAAATGTTGTCTGTAGCATTTGTGCTGGGTTCCTCTGGCGTTTTTGCCATTCAGTGGGTGTGGCGAGGTGCTGGTAGGTTTCGATTCTGATTGTGACGTGATCATCATCGGTGGGGATCGGTTCCGCGGTCGCTTTGAGGCAGTGTGGTTTGGGGAGTGGTGCAGGCATGTCGTTGTATAAAGGCAGCATGTAGTATTGTTGGTAGCCTTTGTCGGTTGGTAGCCAGGTGGTTTTTGCTCCGTTGGGTGCTGGGTGTTGTGCCGGTGGTAGGTCCCATAGGACGAGTCCCTTGGTTGTTGTGGGAGTTGTGGGGTTTGTGAGTGTTTGTGTGTTTGTCCATTATTTGATGAATTTGGCTTCTTCGTGTGTGACCATTGCGTAGCCTTCACGTAGAGTGGCTTGGTCTTCAAGTAATTGGATCAGTTTGGTGCCGGACATGACCGATGTCCTGGTGGTGAAGGTGAGTCGTGGTGGTTTGGCTTCCTGCTGGTTGTCCGTGGTAGTCGCGTTGGATGTGTCAGTTAAGATGGCCAGGTGGTTTTTGTTGTGCTTCTTTGTTGTAACTTCATTGTGGTTGGTGATTGTGGATTGAAGTTGTTGTCGCTTGTTGTGGCGTCCTTGTCGGATTTGATGTGCCTGGTTGACGAGGTCGGTCAGGGCTTGTAGTGGATCTTGTGATTTATCCTGGAAAATGTTGTGAACGCTGGCATAGAGGTCCAGTTTTGGGGTTCGTGTCGTGGCTGCCGTGGTGTTGTTTTTGGTAGTGGTGGCTGTGGTGGTGGTTTGTGGTCGGTCACGTTGTTTTCGTTGATTGTGTGGTGGTTGACTTGCGTCTTGTTTGCGTTGTAGGGATGTAGTGGCGAGCTCTATCAGGGCTTCCGCCAGTGTGGTTTCGTCGTCATTGTCTGTGTTGTTTGGTTTGTGGTATCGTTTGGCTCCGCCTCTGAAGGTGGGTGTTGTAGCGAAGCTGTTTGGAATGAGTGGTAGCTGTGGTTCAAGTGTTGAGTGTAGTCGACGTAGCTGTAGGTAGGTTGTGGTGGTGCAACGAGTGGTTTGTTTGTAGTGTGGTCTGTATCGGCGTCGTTTGATTTTGAACGCATGGCTGATATATACATCAGCTTCTTTCCATTTCGTTTCCAGTATGTCAGAGCTATTGTCAAAACTGTCAAAACTGTGGTTAACAAAATTGCAAGACTCAAAACTTCGGGGTGGCCCCATTGGTTGGTATCCACGTTCACCGCGAGGAGGTTGGGCTTGTTCAGAACGCAACATTAATAATCCCATTTTATCCATCAACCCCACTAATAAGCCCATAATAATCCCATTGATAATCCCATTAATAATCCCATTAAAAATCCCATTTGTTCCATCAATCCCATTAATAATCCCATAATAACCCCATTAATAATCCCATTAATAATCCCATAATAATCCCATTTATAATCCATTAATAAGCCCATTCTATCCATCAATCCCATCAATTATCCCACAATAATCCCATTAATTAATAATCGCATTTACAATTACTATACCCCTCATCCTCAAGGATCATCCAATCCTTTTATCATAATCCCTTTTTGGATCATCCCTTATCCCTTTACAGATTCTTAGTTTACTAGTTGCTAGTGAAATCCCATGTTCCCATGATATTTCCATAGGAAAAAAAAGATGAAGCCCACGAACCCAAATGCACACACGTATGTTAATGGTACAGATGTCAAAACACATGGTTATGCAGTGACGCACAATACCTTTCTGCAATAGTTTATTTGAACAGTCTTGTACATGTTTCCCTTGTTACTAGTCTGCAGTGTGGAGTGGAAAGTGTAGAGTGTGGAGTGTGGAGTGTGAAGTAAGGAGTGTGGAGTGTAAAGTATGGAGTGTAAAGTGTAGAGTGTAAAGTGTGGAGTGTGGAGTGTAGAGTGTGGAGTGAGGAGTGTAAAGTGTAGAGTGTAAAGTGTGGAGTGTGGAGTGAGGAGTGTAAAGTGCAAAGTGTGGAGTGTGGAGTGTGGAGTGTAAAGTGTAGAGTGTGGAGTATGGAGTGTAAAGTGTAGAGTGTGGAGTGCAGAGTGTGGAGTGTGGAGTGTAGAGTGTGGAGTAGTCTTGTACATGTTTCCCTTGTTACCAGTCTGCAGTGTGGAGTGGAAAGTGTAGAGTGTGGAGTGTGGAGTGTGAAGTAAGGAGTGTGGAGTGTAAAGTATGGAGTGTAAAGTGTAGAGTGTAAAGTGTGGAGTGTGGAGTGTGGAGTGTAGAGTGTGGAGTGAGGAGTGTAGAGTGTAAAGTGTGGAGTGTGGAGTGAGGAGTGTAAAGTGCAAAGTGTGGAGTGTGGAGTGTGGAGTGTAGAGTGTGGAGTATGGAGTGTAAAGTGTAGAGTGTGGAGTGTAGAGTGTGGAGTGTGGAGTGTAGAGTGTGGAGTAGTCTTGTACATGTTTCCCTTGTTACCAGTCTGCAGTGTGGAGTGGGGAGTGTAGAGTGTGGAGTGTGGAGTGTGAAGTAAGGAGTGTGGAGTGTAAAGTATGGAGTGTAAAGTGTAGAGTGTAAAGTGTGGAGTGTGGAGTGTAGAGTGTGGAGTGAGGAGTGTAAAGTGCAAAGTGTGGAGTGTGGAGTGTAAAGTGTAGAGTGTGGAGTGTAAAGTGTAGAGTGTGGAGTATGGAGTGTAAAGTGTAGAGTGTGGAGTGTAGAGTGTGGAGTGTGGAGTGTAGAGTGTGGAGTAGTCTTGTACATGTTTCCCTCGTTACCAGTCTGCAGTGTGGAGTGGGGAGTGTAGAGTGTGGAGTGTGGAGTGTGAAGTAAGGAGTGTGGAGTGTAAAGTATGGAGTGTAAAGTGTAGGGTGTAAAGTGTGGAGTGTGGAGTGTGGAGTGTAGAGTGTGGAGTGAGGAGTGTAAAGTGCAAAGTGTGGAGTGTGGAGTGTAAAGTGTAGAGTGTGGAGTATGGAGTGTAAAGTGTAGAGTGTGGAGTGTGTAGAGTGTGTAGAGTGTGGAGTGTGGAGTGTAGAGTGTGGAGTGAGGAGTGTAAAGTGCAAAGTGTGGAGTGTGCACGGCCATACGGGGATCGCGCGGACGGTTGCGAACGGTTGCGAACGGTTGCGGACGCGGACGCAACGTCGAGCGAACACACCCTCAACCCCCAGACCCCCAGAGTGAAACGGGAACCCTGCTACGCATTCGGGAAAACTAGCATTTCCTACGAGACTTCCTCCAATTTTCACAGTTGGCAACGTGACAAAAGGAGAAGTTTTGCAGCTTCCACCATAGACACGGCGAGGCCACGGGAAAACCAGAGACGCGAGACGCGACACGTGGGAGCATCAAAACGAGCATTTCGTGCGAGACTTCCTCCAATTTTCACACTTTGTAGCTTCAAAATCGACGTTTTCCTACGAGTTTTCCTTAGAACCTGAAAATTGGCAACCTCAAAATCGATGTTTCGTGCGAGGCTTCCGTCAATTTTCAACGCATCGCACAAAATGCCACGCCTGCCACGGAATTTGCACCTTGTCGCCACTTGACGCAGCCCTGCCAATGCGATTTGCAAAAAACACGCAACATGACACGTCTAAAGTGCTGCGCCTGCCGCGAAAAATGACGATGGACACGCCCAAAGTGCTGCGCCTGCCACGAAAACTGCAACACATCTTCGGAAAACGTCGCAAAAGTATTGCGCCTGCCACGGCAAAAGACATTCGACGCGTTCCAGAACACGTCTGAATGCCACGAAGTGCCACGCCTGCCACGCGAAACGAAGCAACGACACGTCTGAAACCTCCAAAAAGGACCCCTCCTGCAGAACTTCCCATAGGCACGGCCATACGGGATCGCGCGGACGGTTGCGGACGGTTGCGAACGGTTGCGAACGGTTGCGACCACAAACGCAACGTCGAGCGAACACACCCTCAACCCCCAGACCCCCAGAGTGAAACGGGAACCCTTGCTACGCATTCGGGAATAAACTTGATGTTCCCATCATATCCCATGAATGGTGAATTATGGTATAATGGTATTATGAATGGTGAATTACTAAGGATCATCATCCCTCTGAAAAATATGACTTCGTCACTTGGGATGATGACATTCCCAATATGATGGGAAAGTCATTCAAAATTCCATGGTTCCAGTCACCACCAACCACGAAAACTGGGAAGCTAATCAACTTACAACCAATGGATATCTGATATTTCTGATATTTCTAAAATACATTGAGTACATGATATCCATCAATCCCATTACCCTCTGGTAATTTAACATAATTATGGAAAATCACCATTAATAGTGAATTGTCCCATTAAACATGGTGATTTTCCATAGTTTTTTGTATGTTTACCAGAGGGTAGATCATCCCATCCCATTGCCTGTGTTGGCCATCAAATCAAAGACCCAGTCGGACCATCCTCCGCCGCAGCCATCGCGGCCGCCGGGCGGCGCGCAGGACGCCACGAAGCCTCGCGAGAGCTGCGCCTCGGGACCGCTGAAGACACCGTTGGTGGCGATGCAGAGCCGGGAGTCCAGGGCTGAGGTGGCGCCAAAAGACCAGCAACTGCCACATTGACCTGGCCAAAATGGCCCAAAACCAGTGTAAAAGCCTTGGAAACCTTCAAAAAACCTTCAAAAACGAATGAAAAAAAGGTGAAAAATGTGGACAACACCTTGAAACATGCGGGAAAACATCCAAAAAGCCTTGGAAAAATGCGGGACAACTCGAAATTTCATAGGATTTAACAAGCAAAACATAGCAGGAGTCAATATCAAGTTGGTGATCTTACCAGAAAGAATGTGGGAAAAATATTCTGAAAGAAAGGGAAAAAATGTGGGAAGATGAATGAAAAAATCATCAAAGATGGGAAATTGACAACTAAAAAACAAAGGTTTTTTTTCCGAGGTCTTGGTAGCAGTTCACCATCGTCCAAGACTCCCATCTCCGCCGAAAGCTGCATGAATTTCTTCCATATACCTTAAACATCCATATCTAAACCATATCTAAACCATATTGATGGTTTTTTTCACCAACAAATCGCGGTTGTTTTTTCTTGATGGCCTTGGTTGTGGATGCGCACGATGATCTCGGCACAGTGGGGCCACTGGACGGCCGCCTCGAAGGTCACCGGCAGGGACCGGGTCCTTTCCGGAAGCGGCGCGAAAGTCACCGGGTCCGAAGGGTTGATCAAAGGGATGTTTTTCACATCACATACCTAACGAAAATGGGGATGTATAGATGGATATAGATGGATTTAAATGGATATACATACCACATAGATGGATATAGATGGATTTACCACATGATCTACCAACCGAAAATACCGAAAATACTCATTCAAACAGCAACATATGGGGATTGAGCAAGAAAATCTGGGCTGAAATGGGGTGCCAGTTCGGCAACCCAGTGCGGCTCGTCATGTTTAGCGTTCAACCGTCTGGGGGTTCGTTAAATTCGAAAAAAAAAATGTTCAAAACCATACCGAAAAAAATGAGGCTCCAACTGTGCAAAATCAGCGGGTTCATGATGGTGCAGGCAATCATAGATTGAAAAGTTGATTTCCACAGATCAAAAGGTTGGATTATGGGATGATGTTTTTTTTGTAGGGGCGTCCCAGAAAACTTGAGGGAAAGCCGAAAACCTGAGGAATATTTGAAACAGGTCCCAGTTGGATAAATTTGGGATTGAATTCCTGGTGACTTTCAATTTTCTGATGCGGGAGCAGAAGATCCATCACACACATCACCATAGCACTCACTTTGTAAAGCTTCAAATCAGGTGGTGTATGGTTCCAAGGCTAGTAATCAAAACCAGGAATTTGGCATGTCCAACAGGTGGTTGGAAAAACGTCTCAGCACTCACCGATGAGAAATCATTGTCCATTAATCACTGCTAAATATCTGTTGGCTCGTATCTGACCTGCAACACTCACCAGCCACATTCCCTTCATTGTCTGGGGTCAAAAACTCTTGGCCATGTCTTTACATGTTTAAGGCCCCATTGAAGTTGGTGTGTTTGCCCATTTTCGTGATTGTTCTCCCCATTTGTTGCCATGTTTGTAGCATGTTTGTTGCGTTTGTGTTGAACCACCATGTCAGGTTGTTGAACCTTTCCATGGAAAAAGATGGGCGAGGGTCAAAAGCCTGGTACCTTTGGTTTCCACACCGACATGATATAGCTGATCAAATGTTCATCCCTCATTCATGTGCAAAAAGAGGGTCTGACGGTCTGACGCCACTAAAAATGAAGTCTAAATGATTGGTACTGTATCTATCTCAAAACTCAGCCTCCAAAATCTCCCCCCTTCTTTGTCCCCATATATTTTTCGTAGTATCAAGGTACTATGCTATACCCAACAGGCCGGGGGCCATGACCACCGGTGGGTGTTCCCCACGGTCATGATGTTGTCGGTGATGCTCTGGGTCTGTAGCATGGAGGCATTCACCGTCTGCTCATCGTGGCGGATGCCAGTGCGACGCCTCAAGTCTGCCGCGCTGAAGTTGGCCAACCACTGGGTGAACTGCAGGGTATAGCTGGCCTGGCGGCCCGGAAAAGCACTAGGGATGCGGTCAACAAAACAGGGCTAGTTTTTTGGGGGTCGATGAGGTTATTCCAAAATACTTACACCATGGGGCCACAAGTTGGGAGTATCATTCCAGTCACAAGTAGGGGCCCGTCGTATGGAAGATCCTCAGGGTTAGTTGGAAAACAAGAAATGGGTGGGATTCTCCGGCCAAATGGCTGAAGAGCATGCGGTTGCGATCTGATTTTAGTGACTTGTCATGACTTGTCCATCACTGAGCTGACCCTTATAGACCCAAGACATATTGACCCATACTATACTACTTTACAATGCAAAGGTACGTCTGAATATCTGTGCTGCCCCGCTCGCACTGCTCACTCGTCTGTAAAAATACATACCTCCACTATTTACACACATCCGGGAGTAGATACGATGTGATTCCTCTTTCAAGTAAACTGTCCCTTCACACTGCCTAATAGGCCTTTCGGCCTTTCGCAATACTGAGCACAGGATAGCAAAGCCTCATGGCAAGTCTCATCCAAAATATCTACAAAATCAACATCCCCAAGCTCCACCACTGGACACCGCTCCACCGCGCCACCTCGGCTTGCAGCACGTGGAAGAGGCGTTCGGACAGCACCGGCATCTCTGCCTGGATTGCCGCTAGGAGATCCTCCAGCCAAACGGCGGCCTGCTGCTGGTGGTCCGGGATGGTGTCGGTGCCATGATGTTTGCACAGCACCTGACCGAAGCAGCGAAGACCGAAGACCCCGAGCTGTGAACTTCGCCGGACGTCCCGGGGAACATGGGAAAAGGGGGGATATAAATCGTAACTTTGTAATGAACATGTATATATATATATACATACATACATACATTGATTCATGATTTATGTATATATATATATATATATATGTATACACACACATATAAATATGTATGTATAATATATATATATATATAACCATAAGAAAAAAATGATTCAGCCAAAAAAAATCTGACAATTCTTGAGGCTTGAGAATCCAAGAATTTTTGGTTGAAGAACCGGAGATATGTTGAGCCAAGCCGTTCTTTTAGTTCTCCTGGGATTTTGGCCGGCCCAAGCCCCCAAGCCGAATCCACAAAATGGCTGGGACATGCTGCCCTAAATCCAATAACAACCCAATCCAATCCAATTCACTAGTTCTTTACGGTTAAATAAGTTAAATCCTTGTTTTTTTCCAGGGTATATTGATGAGAAGTCTCCACAAAACATTGCATATCCAACAACCCAACAGTGAAATCCAATGATAATCCAAGTGTAACGGAATATAACTTCAAGACTTACAAACCCATCAAAAAATCACGGCCTTGGTGGGTGAACTCCCTTTTTATTTCCGGGAATCAATCCCTATATTTTGGATCAAAGTGCTAAATATTTGGCGGTTGCACCATGTTGCACCTGCATCTCCTCCATGAAGCGTTCCTCAAAGGCCAAGATCTCCATGTCCGTCAGCTCACCTTCCAAGCCCGAGGAGTCCAGAAAATGGTGGAAGCCCTCTCTGGCCTCGGAGATCGGCAGATCGATGGAATGAAGACGGCTAAGATGGCTCCCCCATCTTAGGCCCATAAATTTCTAGGGGCCCAAAAGCCCAGGGCCGTGGCTGAACTTGAAAATCTTCAGAACCTACACACACAGGACATCCCATGCGCACCAAGCAGCATTTTCCAGGCACGTCCCATCACGCCGGAAGCTCTTTGCCTTGTGCTTCGCAACCAGATCCGATCGCTCGATCAGCAGCTTGCTGCGCTGTTGCAGTTCCCGCCCCCGGGCGAAGGACTCGGCGGTTTTTTGCTGCAGGGCTTCGAAGGTCATCAGCTGAGTGGCGTCCAATTGGAGCCCGGCACCCTTGCTGGCAATGCCGGCATGTTTCTGTAAGAGTTCGCTACCTCTGGCGGCACACTCCGGTAAGGATGGATTTTCAGCACAGGAGGCTGAAACGGCGGTAAAGAGAGCGAAAGTCGTCACAGCCCGCATGCTCTGTGGCGGAGCGGTTCTGTGGCAGCAATGCGAGTGCAATGTTTTGGAAAAGAGCGCTGCGGAATGATTCAGGAAATCAGGGGACTTTGTCCGATCTCAGGAAATATGATTCAAAACTTCGCCAAAATATTCCGGGTTCCGATCTGAAAATACTTTGACCCACCAGCTATGCTCTCAACGAAAATGCCCCCAAAACATGCAAAAAGCGTCAACTGCCTTCCATCAGTCGCTCCACCTGTATCCAAGTGGCCCAGATCGATCATTGCTGAATTGTGGAATATTTCCAATACCTCAGAGGCATACCCCATCCCAACAAGATCCAAAGACTCTCTGTGAAAGGTGCATTTGACAGAAAAACCTACCAGCTGATGGGAAGCAAATGCAACAAAAATGGGTGCAAAAAGTACTGGCACTAGGCATCAGGCTTGAGTAGAGAGTATCACCTGGTCAGTCCGCAGCATTCACCGATTTCTGGTAAAGGGTTTGTGTGGCTGCCCGAATTCTGTAGGACATGTACGAAATGATATGGATTTCTGACCATGATGGACAAAAATCTCATGAGTTATCTTATTTTCCCATATTTTCCCTGTGGCCCTATTATTTGACGCGCAAATCATGGTATCAATGGTATCCAGTATCCACCAATTGTTCGACAAAAAAACGTGGTATGTCCCCTTCAGTTGGTCATGGAACAGTCCCCCCCCAAAAAAAATGGGGTGTTCGTCCGCGAAAAAAATTGCGAAAGCCAAGATGTTCAGAAGTGTCACTTGAAGCAGTTTCCTTTCTGTTCTACCAAGAAAATGGAAATGTGATAAGAATTTCAAGGAAACTAGATAGTATATAGCAGTATAACCCATATAGGAAACAATGGAAGAAACAAAGGAATATAACACATGTATAACTCATGTTCCAAAAGACTGGTAGATTTGACCCGGAAACAACAAGGGGCAGCCCGACTTCCACCTGCAGCTCGATTCTTATCATCCCTGGCGCAGGCACATGTCATGATCAAAATCCTGGGTTTCACCGAAACCTTTGGACCGGCAGAAACATTGGAATCTTACCGAATGCTGGCTTGAAGGATTCGCCTGGGATAGCCTGCATTTCCACTTCAGCCGAGAGTCGAATGGTGAAAATGGTGAAAATGGTGAACGGTCAAGTTTTTCCGGGCTTGAAATCTTTGAAATGCTCGATCCCCAAGTCACCGTGCTTGTTTCAATGCTAGCAAGTCATGGTCATCACGACTGGATGATAACGTAAGGGCTACCTTCCTGACTTCGGAAAGCTCCAACAAAATGACGTTTCCTGTCATTGGGCCACCCAACACGGCCGTGTTGTTGGCCAACTTCGCGTTGAGCGCGATGTTTTGTTGCCCTGGGGGTAGCAGACCGGATTCAGCCGGCGGCGGATTGAGTTATTCAGCCGATCAAATTAAGGACATCGAAGCCCGATATAAGGATCACATCTTGGCAACTTTGAGAGGGAAATATAGAAAAGATATGAAAACATCGCATACGAAAAAATGATTGTAATTCATCATCACTGGATGACTCGGATTACTATCAACAGATTCATGGGACAGATTATAGGAAATCCCAAAAATATCTGATGCTGAAAGCCATGATTTCCTGAGATTCCTACTGAGCTGGTCACGTTCTCGAGTGACTGCTTGCAGTTGGTTCTGGCATATCGGTGGCTGGAGAAGGGCTATAAAAGGTGGCTGTCTCAAACTGTGCCAAATGGCCAATTTGGCTTCTTCAAATGCGGGATCCCCGTCACCTCTTTGTTGTTTCAAGATGTTTCAATGCTAGTCGTCAGTCATCCCAAGTATGGGAAATCCCGGCCAAAGCCTGCAGCTTCTGAAATTCCTGGTTCACCTTGCTGCGGATTCCAACACAGGCGCGAGCTGTTCATCTCAGGAAATTTCTTCAAAGGCGCAGCAAATTTCTGAACAGATCCCGTTTGGTGATTTGGAAACGTGCCATCTCAGCCATTCGTTTCTGGCGCGTTTCGACTGGCCAAAGGCTCCACCGAGGTGCCAGATTGAACAGCTGCGTCTGACTGGCCAAATTCTTCTGCACCTCCTGACATCTGACAACTTAAGGTCAAGTTCATAGGGATAACATTATCATGCTTGGAAAACCACCAAAAAATCGGGATCAAATTGTAAACAGAATGATGTATCCATGGAAAAATGAGGACTTCGCCATCAGACCTTGGGACTTAACCATCAGCAAAAGTGGGTTAACCATCAGCAACAGCTATGCACTTTCGTGATGAACCAATGGAACTCCAAAAATGGATGCATTCGTGGTCTCAAAAATTGTGGATATTGATGGATCATATTTTGATGGATATTGGATATCATGATATATCATGATATATTGGCTGCCTATCAGCTATACATCCCCCTTTCAGGGTGAAAAATCATCCCCACGTTTGATCCTTGAAATTTTCGACCAGTTTCTGGGAATTTACCCCATATGTTTTCCCAGGTCTTCATGGATGAATCCCGATAAATCCCATTAAACCACCATTTTTCACAGCTAAACCACCATTTTTCGTCGTTGAACCACCATTTTTCCAGGGATGTGCCGCCTCTTGCAGCGCTTCGGGTAAGCGATCCGTCGTTAAGGTGGGCATTGGTCGCGCCTCGGGGAAAAAAAAAAACGCGAAGTTCATCATCATGACTTAGGGTGTAAATGTGTGTACGTATTACATATTATATATATTATGTATTATGTATATAACTATATTATGTATATATATATATATAACTTATAACTCTATATATATAGATAGATAGGTAGATAGATAGATAGATATCAAGGTTGACTTTGGGGAGAAAAGTCAAAGCGCAAAAGCGCGCACGCGCACACACACACACACGTTTATTAAGTTATTGCTATAATCATTACATATCATTACTATGTTCCTCCGATGATTATGATCTTTATGAAATTTTATGATTGTTATCTTTCGCCCCAGCTGTCGATTTTGGGTGGTGGTTGATATCAATATAGTGCCTTATCTCCTGGAAATTGACCGTCTCATTGGATGCAAAGGCACAAATTTTTTGAGCACCGAAATTGGAAGCGGTCACCCATGCTGTTTTTTGTCGAGCGTGGAACCCGAAAATGCCACTGGAAATGGACCCTGAAGGTCGGAGGGTCCAAAAGTTTTCCAGGAACAAGATCATCCGTTGCTCGCATCGCCATGTTACTTTTTGTTTTTGTTTGGTCATTTTACCCACAGTTTCCTTGTCGTGTTCCAATTTCTGTGTCCTTTTGATGACCTTCTGGGAGATCAGTTGATATCAACGAAGCTTCCCGCAGATCAGCGATCTGCGGAAAAATCTGCTGCATATGTCTGTCCAAAGAGAAATAACTTCCAAACATTGGAACATCATGGAACATCCACATCCAAGTTCCCGCACTGGCATGGTGCCGACCCCGACCTCTAAAAAAGCATCCAATCTAAAAAAGCATCCAAGCTTTTTTGGAGGTAGAGACGCCAAGCCGTGGCAGTCCCATAGACATTTGCTGACTATAATAACTATAGTGGAGGATGTTTACCAACCAAGAATGCTAAGAATGTGGAATTCGACTCAACAATATGGATGTGACACAAGAATCACCAAACCAAAAATGGAACCCCCAATTTAGTGATGCCAAAATCATCCCATTTTACTCATTCGTTCCCTTCCTTCATCTACCTCTGACATTCCCCGGAGTCCAACCTGGGCCCCAAAGAAATGGCAGCTATGCAAGTTCTGAAGCCAAGGCCAGAAAACAGCTGGGCATAGCTGGGCGATTTTCAAGCAAGTCCCTGTCAGAGTTTGTGACCTGAAGTTTTTCCAGACTCTTGTGGGGATGACTCTGTCCCCTTGTAACAATTCGCGGGAAAATCCCCAAATTGGTTAGACATCACCCACGTCACAACAGCAATACTAATAGTAGTAATCACAATAGTACTCATCAGAAGAGTGGTAACTTTTCCGAGGTGGTCTGCTGGCTAGGGTTTTTCGCCATGGTATACCATCTCATGGGAACCCTTCTAGAGAATGGGCATATGAATCTTGAAAATGGAAGACCTTCCTCACAGGGTGTGGAAGACAATCCAACGAACGGAACTAACGGAACCCCAACATCTGATGGATCAACATTTTTTTCATCAATAACAACCACATCCCATGATGACATACTATCACATAACATTAATATAACATTATACTGATTGTTATAAAGGAAAACCCTCCGCCAGCCACATGGCCACGGAAAAAAAAAAATCATTAGTTCGATGATTCGAGCCACATATTCTGTCCAATATTCCATTTAACATCCAGTAAACATTGAGATTCCATGGTCTTTCCCATCAAAATTTGCAAGGTGCGTTGTTAGTGCAGTTAGACCATTTCCCAGTGATATTATATGTATACATTATATATATAGATATATACACATATTACTGTATATACATACATATTATGTATATATATATTATGATGTTATATGTTTGAGAATCCGATCATCTCATGGACATCCGAAAAAGAAGCGGACCATTTTCTCTCTCTCAGTTCTTTGGCCTCGTTTGGGCAGAGGCTTGGCAACTTGGCCCATGGGACTGATGGGTCAAGGTTCACCCCGTTCTCCAGGAAACCATGGGAAACTCACAAATATGTGTATTATATGTATATATATATACATTATGTGTATATATATATATTATATATATATACATTGTATATTATGTGTGTGTCTTTATATACATATAAATTATACATACAAGTGTTCATGTTAAGGGCAAAAGCTAGGAAAAATGGCACAAATGGCACAACATTGCCTTTTTAAGAGGAAAAGATGATGATAGTCCAAAGGAATTGGGGTTTGAACACAGACAAAGCCCAGTGAATCAAAGACTTGCGCAGTGCTGGTGTGGCTTTCCAATCCTACGAAAACATTCAAACCTTCAATGAGAACCTGGTGTGAACATCTGCTCCAACTATCTACCAACTAGTTCTTGCTCCCTCCAGATCTTCGGGTCGCAAGGAATCTTCGGATGTCGCCATTTGGTGCAGTAGTCACCGCTAGATCTGGAGGAGATCTGGAAGCCCATTCCCCAGCATCCCATGTCGAGATGCACTGCAAGGCTCGGCGCCTGCCGATTCATGGCGAATCGATATCTGGATCTTCTATCGATATCGTACGTGGCTATATGTGTTGATCCATCCCTAATATGAAACCACCAGAGATTGGGAAAAAGAAAGGAAAAATGCTGGAATCAACCCTGAATTCAGGGCCATACCTGAAAATCGCTCCAAGTCGGGGATTACTCCAAGAGCCACGAGCTTCCACGAGGTTCTCTGGTAAGATGTGTTTGATAAGAAACGGAGTTTGGGTTGGGACTTGAATCGGTTTCCTCTTGCGGGGATCTATGGAAAATGCATCAAAAATGGAGGGCTATACACCCCAAATGGCCAATTTACTGGAAAAACGATATATGACATATATATACACATATATGACATATATATACATATATATATATATACATATATATATATACATATATATATATGTATGCATAATGAATCGAAAAAATCTCGTGGACTTTGGGGTTTTCCCCAGTCTGTTTCGCAGCATCCCACCTTGGCTTCTGGTCGAGCCAATCGCTTGAGCCGAAGGCGAAGGGATTCGTTCTCATCCTCCTCGCTCGATGGTCATCCCAAACTGGGCAACTTGGCAAACCATGCTCTGCAAGTGATCAAATATATTCAACAGAATCCAACACAAAAGATTAAAAAAAACTGTCACAAGCTGATAAGATCATAAGTTCTGAAAACATGTATAACTTTCATGTCTTGAAGTGATAGTCCCTCCAACTTCCAAAGGCTGGATAATCCCCTTGCCAAAAGGATGTCCTTCTTTTGAAGGACGTCGCGCATCTTGACCACCTTGGCCTTCAAGGCCTTCCACTCAAAAAATGGCACTGATCCAGCAAGAAAACAGCCATACCCCATGGCTTACCGGCTTCCCCATGTGTTACCCATGAATTTTGAGCTTCGCTTCCAGCGCCTAAGAAACGCAACGAAACGAAACGCTCAGAAACGCCGAAACACGCAGAAACGCACCTCGAAGGTGGCCAACTTGTCTTCCTGGATCAAGTGATCCCCATGTGCCAAAATCAACCAACCAATGTCCAAGTGCTGGAAGTGTTTACCCAAAATAAACTTAGCAAAAAAAAAGGAGTTCCTCGGAATAACCCATATATCGACATATCGATTAAAAGATAATGCTAGTTAGGCCATTGGGCCATGATATCCAATCTATTAAGTACCGTATGGGTTTGTCTCAAAATAGTGTGATTTTGGACGAACCCACATTGGTAATGCCAATGGCTAATATTGGCTAATCACCGTTTTCCCGGTGAACAGTGTTTATTTAGGGGTATACACCATTTCACACACTCTCGTATTAAGTACTACGTTAAAAAAAAAAAAAATAATAAATAAATAGATGAATAAATAACAATAATAAAAAAAACGATAGAAAAATAACTAAAAACAAATAAATGATAGAAAAAATATGATTAAAAAAAACAAAAAATGATAGAATAAACATATTTCCTACCATGAATTTCCACATCCATCAACCCTCCAAAAACATCGCACCTCCTCTGCCTCTGCTTTGGCGGCAGAGTGTGCCAGCATGCCAATGGTCTGCTGGTAGAGTGCCGACACCCGCCCCTTCTCCTGTTCTCGGACCAAGTGGAGCCCAGTTATTTGACCCAGAAAAAACTGGTGTAACGTTTCTCCCGAGCCTGTGGTGGAATGAGCTGCTCTGTGTTCGAAGAACTGCGGACGACAAACCAAAACTCCGAAATAGGTGGGACTGGAGAACTATTGCTGCTGCCATGTTTGGCTGAAGGATTTCTGCTTGGGACTGAGATTTTCTCCCAGAATCGTTGTGAGCTAGGGGCGTCTCCTCTTTTTTCATGAACCAACGAGCAAGAAAAGGACTCTGAAGGACCAAGGACAGCTACCCAAGAATGGAAAAGTGGCATCACCAGTGACGGTCAGTCCCCATGACTGGCTACTGTTGCTACAAATATCCCCATCTTCAGTTGAAAATTTGGGCAGTTTTCAAAAGTGATACACCTGATTTGGGTTTGAAATCCTATTGTGCTGGCTCACACGCCAAAAAATGAAGAGAATAACACGTTGGAATAATCATATACTGCATACAAAATCATGACTATCCGACTATCCACTTTCATTGAAGTGATCCCAATATTGTTTGGCTTAAAATCACCAAACTGCTCCAAAATATCCTCAGATTTTTTTGAAAAATCCCTGGTTATCGAAATCTCCACCTGAAACTCCACTTGGTCCTTCTCCAAACGATCTCGCTCCTCGAGCAGCCTGGCAAAAAAAAGCGAAAAAAAAAACGTCAGAAACTTTTCAAAAACAAACCTCAGCAGCGCATCTTGGGAAACAAAACATGAAAAAGTTGCTTTAAACATATGTTTTATATCTTTGAAAGGACAAAAAAAAACGTCAAACATATAAATATTGATTGAATATGTGTTATATGGTTTATATGTGTTATTAATCTATTAACAAGTATGTGTTCCATTGTTCTCCAGCCGCAAAAGACCCACAGCGGCCTGGCATTGGCCTGGCTCACCTTCTCCAATGCAGACCTAGGGAGGTGGTGCCAGATTCTTGGGCCATGAACAACGATAATAGATATTAAGTAATATAGTTATATATGATAATATACACTAATATATATATATATATAATATGTATATATATATATGATATGTAGTGGTTTATAGATGTTTATAGTAATATGTATCAATAATGTATAGTAAAAAAAAACTTTCAACATGATGATAATATAGTGTAATTAGTGTAATTTTTTAGCATCTAAGATGTTGACATGTTTCCCATTTTTTAGTCTAGTTGACATGATCACAGCATGATGGACGCTTAGTACCAGCAAACAACCTGTGGTGGCTTTCGACCCAGCATTTTATTGGACAAATGATGGATTTCAGGTGGAATTCAGAATCGAGAGGTATCCCACCTTCATTCTGTGGAATCCTCATCCCCAAAAATTGGTGGCTTTCTATCCCCGTGGAACACGGTGGCTGCACCCAATGACTTCACCCATAAACTCAGCATGGCTCAGCATGGCTCAGCATGGCGTGTGCGGTGGATTTGCTTTGACCATCAGCTTGCGCATCACGGTGGAATCAACAGGCCCTGTGTTTTTTCCCGAGGAACTGTTTTTTTCTGAAATTCCAGTGGCTTCCTCCAATTTTTCTAACTCAAATGTATTCAATTGTAACATTGGGCAAATCTATCTGACTGTAATTCTATACATCAACTGACATAAAACTCAGATATTTCGAGCTTTCAACCCCTCCGGTGTCGATTCGGTTCCCCGCTCCCGGAACTGCTTTTGCTTCTCACGGTCCTTGTCCATGGCCTAGGCTTCCAAGCCGAAAGAATGTCACCGAGGTTTGGGATGAGAAATCGCCACCAATGGCATATGTGGTATATGAAAATTGATGTGTTTAATAGGTAAAGCATCTATTTCGATTAGGGCCATCTATACCATGGCGAACTGTTAGTCATAACCAAAGGGTATTCGTTTTAGATATTGTTAATGTGTTAATTTATGTTAATTTGAAATTGTTATGGCATAGATGGCCATGATCATACTGTAGTTCAATGATCTAGCCCTAGCTATCAAAAATGTTGATTTGCAATAGCTACGTGAAATTAGCAGAGGGCAAAATACGTTCAAAACCCATCCATTTCTGTCAAGATGATGGTAGGCTTTTTGGGTTCAAGATCTAAACCCATACTAAATGTTGTGAGTACACTGAAAATCCAGATTCATCCGATTATGAGTTTCCTCACCCGAAAAAAAAAGGTCCGGGGGGGGCGTCAGTCAGCCCGGCCTCGACTTTGACCATCAGCCGGTTGCGCTCGTCAACCACCTGCATCGTTTGGTGCGTGGATGGGGCCATTCTTTGGGGTAGTTCTCACCCCCAAAAAATTCCAAGGTTAGGGGCTCCACCTGCTCCATGCCAAGGTCCCGACCTGATTGTAGGTGTCGCGCAGATGCGCCACCTACCGAGGTGGTAAACGATGACACGGGAGGCCAACAGAAGAAACTACTATTTCTGGAGTCCCTTTTTCATGGACCTAACCCTCCCGAAAATACGACTCAGATATCCTAAGCGATATCTCTATGTTTGGGTTAAAAATGTTTCTTCAATATGTGGAGCCAAAGATTTCTACAACCGCTGTTCCCAATATTTGTTCCATCAAACCATAAAAAACCCAGGCACTCGACCAATCAACAATGTTCCTGCACCTCACGTTCATGTTCTGGAGAGCAAGCAGGAGAATTGATGCAGGCAATTTGCAGCTTGTCCAGGCAGCCCTGCAAAAACAGTTGAACGCAAACCAGGTGGAATTTTGAAAGGACCAAAGCCGTACATTGGCGGGTTATTTTTTTTGGTGCACCATCTGGTCTTTTTGAATGGCAACCAATTTTTGAGCCCTGGTCCCCATCATTCAAAACCTCTGATAGTCCGAATCTTCACGACTCCAACTCTGAGAGTCAGCCGTCGGCCGTTTCTGCCAACAGCAACCGCCATTTCTGGGGCACAATCCACTTCCATATCTTCCATATCTTCCATGACCAACTCTCCGTTCGGTGTTTGTGCAGTTTGCCCAGTTTTTTTGGCCCCACCTTGGTGTAAAGAAAGTTCTCGATGAGATCTTCCTTTTCCTTCTCTGCCTGGCAGATCCATGAGATCCAATTTGGGAATAAAATCAGTCATGTGCCACCCACCGAATTGGCTTGAGCAGCGGAATATACATAATACGTTGTGTATTCAACCACAATCCTTTGGAGCAACAGCCACATAGCTTCCACACTGACCACCGCTTCGAAAAAAAACGCAACGCGCCGAAGTGTAACAGCTACGCTGGAAATTGTGCGGAGATTTCGCCCGTGCCATCAATTCACCAGAATTTCGGTGGACAACGTTGGATGCCAAGTTGGTTGATTTGATTGTTGGGTTCAGCAGATTTTTTTTGCGGCTGCAGATTTGGGAACCATGGGAAAATACCCTAATTCCCCAAATCTGCAGCCAAGTTGGTTGATTTTTGAGGATCCAAACATCAACACAGCAGGCTGAGCGACACAGCGACCTGTGCCACGCTCTGTTCCAAGGCTTCCTTCTCCCGGTTGAGGCTGTTCACCTCGAGAAAGGTCAACCTTTGGTGGAGTTGAGTAGTATACAATATACCCTCTGGTAAACGTTTACATAGCTATAGAAAATCACCATTTTTAATAGGTAAAGCATCTATTTCTATGATTTTCTATGGGCCATTTTCAATAGCTACCATATATAGCTGGTTGGTGGTATACCTACCCCTCTGAAAAATATGAAAGTCAGTTGGGATGATGACATTCCCAATATATGGAAAAATAAAATTCATGTTCCAAACCACCAACCAGCATATTATATGTACACCCCATTTTCCAACGAATCCATGTATGAAAACCAAGAAAAACCCAAGAAAACCTGCTGGGTGATACATGAATTCACGTCCAGGGAGATGCTGGGTGATACCAGATGTGCTCCTCAATGCTGCTTTTCAGTCAACTGCCATAGTGACTTCAACGCACCAGTTCCAGCTGGTGCCCCATGGTTTCCCATCCCCAAACAAACCATGGGTAACCTATTTCAATATGGTTTCCCCATGGGTTTCGCCATGGTTTCCCAGAGGATAAAGTTGACCTCTTTCAGAGCTCAGCATCTGGCATCAGAGCGTAAGCGTCTCAGCTCGTCGGCTCGGGTCATGTCCTGGTGTGCCGATGATATGATGGAGATCGGCGATCGATTTCTCCAAAAATATCCAACAAAAGTCTCAATGTTCTGAGATCGTTCCATCAAAAAGACGCCAATGTCCTGCAAGTCCTTGGATTTTGGTGATTTTTACCAAGCCTTGCCCAACGCAACAGCCCCCCAAGCACCGTTCCCTCTGAGAGTGCATCTCCACGTTGCCGGCCAGAGAATCTCAGCGTGCTGCCGGAGTGATGTGTCCGATTTTCCCGAATCGGATGAAACAATGATGAAACAATGATGAAACAATCCCCCATCAAAATCATGATGATCATGGGCTAATGAGATGTAGATAGATGTAGTGATTTTTTGTAACGATGGATGAATTCAGATCTGCTTCCAGCCCTGAGTGTCTGACTGATCTGTGCGCGAAGTTTCGCGATCTCCATTTTGAAACCTTCAATGGCTCTGGCCTTGGCTGACTTGAAGCGGCCCAATGGCTGTACCTCAACTTGTCGATGAAATATGATGAAATCACCTACTTTTTTCGTAAAAGTCGTAAAGGTTCTTGCTTCGATTTCGATTTCTGGTCAAAACTGGATGTTTGTTCTTCCAACTATGTCCAAATCCTTGTTTTTGTTGTACTCAGATAACCATACTATGTTTTTGTCAGATATGCCCCCTTTGCCACAAAATCTCAGTGCCCCAAACACGCTTCTCCAGGGCCGGTCCCTCGTCCCCTGCCGGCGGAAATCATTTTTTACAGTGGAATCCAAGTTCTGTGCTTTTTCCATGTTAGGCGATGTCAAAAAAGACACTGATAAAACCACCAATGATAAATACATATACGTATGTATATCTATATGTATGTATATATATATACCAATCAATATATATATATATACCAATATATATATATTATCTATATATATATACTTATATGCTGATACATGAATATTAGAATAAGTTTGACAATTTTAGACCTGGATATTTCAATCATATTTATCGGTACAGAAGGTTTCGATCCTGCAGCTTGAAGGTCTTCGAGCTGCTGCCTGGCATGGTGAAATCGGTGAAATCATGGAACATCCAAGGAGGATGATCATAAGTGCTATTTCACCAGCTTTCCAATGGAAATGATGGTTTTCACCCGTATAAAATATAATATTTCCATTGGAATACCATGAAATTTCCATTGGAATACCATGAAACATCTTGAAACATCAGTTTTCCAATGGAATCTCGGCAAATGAACCATGAGTTTTCCGGAAATTCGGCAAAACTCATGTGCATCCTCCATTCCAAATAGCTACAGAATTCGTGGTGACCCATCCCGCATCCCGTTGCACCTCAGTTCTTGAGCTTCCAGGTTCAAGCGGCTGTTCAACGCCTCGGTCTCAACCAGTGGTTGACTGGATTGAAGCATATTGAATTCATGGGATTTCAATGGCAAAGTCGGCCAGGAATCTGCTGTGGAAAATGCTCCAACAAAATGCCTTTCCAATCCATAGGATGGCTCCAGATGACAGCCGAAATGAAGCGGTCTAGATGGCCATCCTCAGCAGGGCCACCGCACCCGGCCGTCGTGGATCTGCAGTTGCAGTGCTGCAGCAGCACCACCCTGTCGCAAAGTGCGAAAGTTTGCAGATCGCAAACAGCTGCTGTGGAAACATCAAGATCAACCTCCATCCATTTCCTCCATCGATTTCTACTACCAGCTTTGTTTGACAGCCACAGCCTTGGTCGGCGTCAGTTGCTGATGAAGCTTCTCAATCGCCTCAAACAGCAGACTTCGGATCAGGTGGTGTTTTTTTCGGAAGAGAAAGTGAGATTCAACCTACAAAACTCCCCAAAACCGGGGTAAAACTGTGAGTGTTCAACTCAACTTGGGGATTTAAGATGATTTAAGCATTCAAGCTGGAGATTTCATGATCAAATCTGATGATTAATGGATTGGTCCAAGGGAAATCTTGAGGAATCTTAGAGGAACTCTGGTTTGAACTACCCAATACGTCAGGCTTTTCTGCAGATGTTCCGACAGAACCAGTTCTGATGATTTTGGAGTAGGACAAGGTCTTGGCAAGCTGGCCACTCAAGAGAGTTCATAGAAGAATTTTGATTCAATGATGATTATCAATTATGATTCAATTCAATGATTGATGAATCAGTTCTATATTATGAATGGTACCATTTTCATGATTATCATTAATCCAATAATTGTGGATGGTACCATTAATCCATGATCAATAATTAATCATAATTAATCCATATTCATGGATTTTCATGGTACGGCATCATAATTATTAACATTTATCAACCAAGAATCCAGCTAAATTATAATCATTCCATGATTTTTTAGCAACCAATGGTCGAAAATCCGATCTCCTCAGTTTTCGGATGTTAACTCGGGCGCCTCCGTGTAGCTGCCAATGGTCTCGGAGAGCTGCGCCTGCAACTCGCGTTTCTCGTTGTTGGAGTTCCGCACCACCCGCCTGGCGCGTTTCGCAACGCCGTGCGTGCAACGACGTGCGTGCGTTTCGAGCCATGGTTGTGGTTGGATGGTGAATTCAACTGTAGATGGCCTATTTTTCCATAGCTATGTTAGTTTACCAGAGGCTAAATGATGTAAATGATTACAATTCCTGAACATATTCCGTGATTGATGACCATTCCCCCAATATGTGTAGGTAATCCATGGTTTGGCCATGGCAAACATAGTCAAGATGAAGGATGTGAACATTCCATAACATTCCATGAGTTTTTCCCATTCTTGGGCTCAATTCAACCACCCGCACAACTCCAGCAACTTCGCAGCATTTTTTTTCCCATCCGCAACTTCCACTCATATACTGGGGACCACTACACCATCCATGGACCCACTTGACTCGACTTCTATACATCCATATATGGTCCATATACTGTTACTATCTGTTACTGCATCTCGAAACCTCGAAAGATCTTAGAGTCTTAGAGTAGATGATCTCAGGCAGCAAAGTGCTAGTCGCTGTGTTCGACTTCCTCTCCATTGGCCGTTTTGGCATTTTTCTTCCGCTTCTTTCGCGGGTTTTGGCTTCTTTTTGGCCTCATAAAGTCAGCTTTCCAAGAAAAATGCAAAAATGTCCCATAAATTGCTGTTGGTGTCCCAGCACAACTTCAAGAACAAAAAAACATCCTCCAAAACAAAAATAACAATACACGTACTTTCCAACGTGCCAATTGTTTTTTCCAAGCGTCTCCACCCCCTCCACAAAGTCGCGAAACTCATGTTCAATCGCCACCCTGGCGGCTGAGTGTTCTGCCGCCTTCTTGCTGGCGCAAACTTCACCGAGGTAGCCGCCGGCCTCGAAGAATTTGCAATCCAAAGTGGATTGATAACCCGAAGTCCCATCTTCACTCTGCACGCTCTCGGTGCTAAAGGCAATCTCCTGGACGATGAACGAGATGAACCCCAGTTGCAAAAACCATGGGCATTTTTGGAAGATCCAAAGGACAGACAGTAAGCCAACATTCCCATCCCCATCCCCATCCTTTCGATGACGTTTCCAAAACGACACCTTTCCCCCCTGTCTTTCCAATCAATGTCCATCCATTTTCAATATTGTCCGTCCATATTGTTTCACATATACTACACATCATACATCTCGAAATCTTCGATGTTAAACTTCACATCTTCCATCCAAATCCCCCAAAAAATCCATCCAAAACCAACCATCAACCATCAACAATCAAGTTCCGCTCATTCCGCTCCTGCTTCTCGAGATTGCGCTTCAATTTCTTGCCACAGAGTTCATGCAACTTCCCAATCCAATTGTAGGCGCCTGTCGGAGGCTCGGGCTCCTGCGGCCCCTGCGGCCCCGGGCCCAGCCCCTGCGGCCCCGGCGCCGCCGCTGAGGGCACAGTGCTGGGGATGGCACGGGCACTGCGGTGCTGCTGCACTTGGCTGCGGAGCATCAGCACCTCCTCCCAGAGGTAGTGCAAATCATCAGAATCCTCGAAAATCTGGAAGTTCACATGGTTTGGAAAGATCCACCATTTTATAGCTGGGTAAATCAACTATTTCGACTGGGCCATGTTCAATAGCTTTTTGTATGTTTACCAGAGGGGTAGCAATGTTTAACATGCTTCAACTGAGATGTTCAGTTGGATTTGAGTGACTCGATTTCTTGATAAGAGATCAAACAATGTAACTCAAAGATCAATGGGAAAAACAGAGTCGAGTGATTCAAATATAAGGACATGTTGTAAAGGATATTATGGATATATGACACGATATTCTGTATATATGAAAATAGTGGCTTCGCTAGCCTGCAAAATGAGATGATCCGATCGTTCACCAACTGGGAATGGGGAATCTCATCCACTTGAAGCATAACACCCCCATGGAGACCATGGTGCCAAATATAAGGACATCCTCTTAAAAAAGCCACGGTTTCCCGGGGTGTTTGATATTAGGGAGAGGGATTACAATTAACTCATGTACTATTGGCAGAACAGTGCAGCTGAAGGGTTGAATCGTCTCCTACCATTGAGTTGAGACGCGGGAAACAAGTGAAATTCAGGCACATGGAGTATGACCCACCGATCATGAATGGGGATGGTTATCCGTCAGTTGTTGAAAATGGAAACCGTGATTGTGGAAGGCTACCTTTTGATGTAGGGATCAAAATCAACTTGTACATCCAGTGCTTCATCGGAGTTGACGATGTGAGGATATAATATAGCAGTTCTTATTTTATCAGAGTTCATCCAATCATATTTCCACATTGCTAACAGAACCATACACAACCAATGATGGGGATATGATCACCCGAAGCTGAGAAGATCAGCAATCATTTTGTGGTGAACCCCCAAAAGTAGGACAGTGAAAGTTATTCCCTTGCGATATCTTATGATTTTCCACTTCAAACTCAGAGATCTCCAACCATCACTGGGTTGTTTTAATTGCTCGTGGCAAACCATTCGTCTTTCAGCATCCCCCCATTCTCCCAGGCTCATGCTGTAAGTCCAACACTGCATCGGCCAGTTGCATCACACTCCGACTGAAGTCGTAGTTCCAAAGCCTTGCAGAGTTTTCCGTACTGATTTCCAATGGACAATTTTCAAAAAAAAATAATCCAATTTGAATGGTTATATAACCAATATACACACATATTATATATGATATATGATATATGATATATGATATATATATATGGATGTATAATATAACTCAAATAACTTATATATATAATATTATATATAACTTATAAAGTTTAGATCATCAATTTGAAGCCCTGCCTCTGAGAACCCTGATAGCCCTTTTGCGCTTGCGCTTGCGCTCCCTGCGCTCCCTGCGCTCCGTGCGTTCCCTGCGCTCCCTGCGGTCCCTGCGGTCCCTGCGGTCGCGGGCCCCGAAACGCCGCCGGCAACGCGGGCGTCCCGGGGATGGCTTCGATGCTTCGTCGCCAGGCCGACATCGTCACGGCCACTGGAGGAAAGCAACCGAGATCTGATAGAAGATGAAATTCCCAAGGAAAAATCACTTACAAAAACTTGGGAAGGTTGGAAATTTGAAATTGAGGATTGTAACATCTAACCAGGTTTTTGTGGGAATATCGTGAGAATATCTAATGGAAATTGAAATATATACCATTATATACCACATCTGAAGCAACAATAGCATGGGTATATGAATGCGCTTCAACCAACAATAATTGGAATATAATTGGAAATATATCACAGGATAGCTGAGAGAAATGGACGGCAACGAGGTGAAATGGGCGGTTTCAATGGAAAAAGATCGAGCCCTCTGCCACATCATGGATTATGATCATCCCTGATGTATTGCCAACCAATGAGCACATGCAATCATCAACCAACCATCAGTTATGAATATTTATCAAATGTGATCAATAGTTATCAATATTTGTCAAAGACTATCAATATTTTTCAATATGTATCAATATGTATCCATCAATATGTATCAATTACCAGTAAGTTAACAGTTCGACCCTGGCAGTCATCGGGCTTGGTTCAGAAGCTCGTGTCCACTAGAAATTGGTGATTTTCAGGGTCCAACTGTTAATTTACCAGAGCGTATATCCCATATGTTTCGTGGTTCAATCCGTATTTGCACATAGAATAGCAGCGAATTCTCAACACAGATGGCTTCAAGACACGGTCGGTGAGACTCCACGGATTCCAATTGCCCCACGGTGCGGTCCAGCTCCTCGAAAGATGATCTGGAAATATCATGGGGGATATTCCCATGGGAATTTTTGGGGAAAATCCATGGGAAATCGATGGAAAAGAACTTTTTGGAACTTTTTTGGAGATGGGAAAAGATCATGGCCATAGCATTGAAAATCATTGAAACATGAAACGCCAAACCTCATGAAACTTCAGATATGTCAGATATTTTTCTGTGACCAGATCTGTTTAGTCGCTATAGGGTTGTCCTAATCCACATCAGGCCGACCACAAATCCACCCGGGCCCCATTGTTGACACACGTCCTTGCCCAAGCGATCTGCCAGCCGCTGGAGATCAAACTCCTCAAAGGCCGTTCTCAAAAAGCGAACTGTCGGACATTCGGAGATGGCTTTCCAACAGAAATCTCCTGAGTCATGATGGTGGTAAGCGGTGCCTCAGAAAAAGGCATGCAAGGCATGGATGGAAGAGGCCGAAATCGCCTGTTGGAAAGATATATATACAGTGTATATATATATATATATTATATATTCTATCTGATATGGATAAGGTCAAATATGGTAAAAGATTTAGTAAAACATGGTCGAATAGTTAAATAAAGTCTAACATCAACAAGATTGGCAAGTCTAATGGTTGACTTCATGGGAATTCATGGTGAGAAATCATGACAGTTGGCATCTCAAGTTCTCAAGGTTTGCCCAGGCTGTTCAACAGGCCCACTCGGGTGACCCATGTTTCATGCTGGAAATTGCTTGCTTTTGAATTTCAAACATAAGTACAATCCTGCTTGAATTCAACTTGTTTAATTATTTAATTATGTCGGAATGTCCGATCCAAAATCCGAACGTTCCAATTCGGAGTCGGCCCCATGTTCCATGGCAGCAGTAGCAGTTCAGGAGCAGACTCCAGGACGCGCAGGGTCTTGGAAGAGCCTGCCATTCCATGGCGGCTCCATGAAACGGATATGGATCAAAAACACGACAGCAAAAAAATGTTTAATTACGGTGTGGATCAAAATCATTGATCCAAAATTATCCAAAACTGTGTATGTATAATATCATCGTCTGTTTATGAAAATCAATCGTCCCAGATGCTGAACTAAAGAACTTATGGTAGGTGGAAGTTAAGTTATTCAAATGGCTGTCTATGTGTTTAGTGATTTTATGTTCCCATTGATTTTTTGAAGTATTTTTTCTAACAACATATCTAAATATAGTATAAAAACATATAAAAACCGCCTAAAACAATAGCAGCTCAAACGCTCTAACCTCCTTTGGGCAGCCAAAACGGGTACCTGGAAATACCAGTGGACATATGACATGTCCGCCTGCTCAGTATGAACGAGGTTGCCACGTACTGTCGCGCCTCAGACGTACCCCAAAAAAGGATGGTTGTTGCATCGAGCCACCACTTGGAGCATGAAATGTTGGAAACCAACCAATTATACCAACCACATGCTGTCCTAAAATAGGGGTACCCCAAATTATCACCATTTTAGTATTGAAAGCCATGGTTTTGATGGTACTCCCATTTCAGGAAACCCCCATATCAGCTTCAGCATCAATGAAGTCACGGCATGGATCCCATGGCTTTATGATCGTCATAATCTGTCGTGATCTATCCTTCCAATTGGTACCAATTATCAAAAGATTATCATGATTTAGATCTTTTGAAAGATCTAAATCATGATAATTGGCATCTTCCAATGTTTAGATCTTTCAAAAGATTCTGATCCCAGGGGATGGCTGATAGTTAGTAGTGCTCATCTCCCCCTTCAAAAACCTGGCATAGTGCCATAGGTCATCCATAGGTCATCCTTGAGTTCCAGCACGTGAAAGGTGCGCACCAACAGAGTGATGAGATCGCGCATGGTCCTGGGCGGCAAAAATACCAACCGCACGTGGATGGGTTTAGGGTTGACATCTCATCCCAACCCTCCACTGGACAATCACCATTCTTTAAAACGCTCAATCATCGAACGAAAGGGGTGCCTTCCATAGGATTTCCACCATTTGTCCCGTAATTTCCAGTGTGTTTGCCCCATGATCTTCCCAGTTAAATCACCAGGAAATCACCAGTAAATCACCATTAGATTCACCAGAAACTGACCCCATTTTGGTGTCCTGGACAGGGCCACGAAGTGGAAGATCTTGTCCTTGAAGGAAACAAAAACGCCGGAAGTTCCCAAAGATATCCCTGGAAAATGCACGAAAAAACTATGTAAATGAATGAAAATGAACAAAAATCAATGAAAATGAATAACATTGAATAACCATTTGATGTGTCCATCTGTTTCCATTGATTTTCTCTACGTTGCTCTTCCGGTCTTTCCAATAAGCAGTGTCCAGAATGGATGATTAGGGAGGCAAACCCAGGCATGAAAACCCCAATACCCGGTAGTTCACCCTTAAATAGTTGGCAAATGGATCTTCATCCCCTCAAATACCGCAAAAATAGGTGTTGACCCACCATTTTAAGGGCTTTTCAAAGCTGAGATGGAAAAACTTCACTCCCGCCTGCTCGTCACAAAGCTCGAGTCTGAATTTGCAGGTGTCCGTGGGGTGGATGATCACCTGGTGCTACGAAAAAACTCAGTGGCTGGTGGTTGAACCAACAACGAATCCGCAACATGATGCTGCTGAATTCTTGGATGCTTGCAGGACAGGAGGATTACAAACTTGATTTGCTATGCTTGGAACCACCGAGAAAGTCCAATGGTTTCGTCAAAATATGTCAAAATGGCGAACTGCAGTTCCCTCACACAGAAAATGTGTAAAAAGAAAAGAAAGTGGATAGATCTGGATAGATTGAAAATCCCCAAGTCACTATGGCTTTTATGAACCCTCGAAATGTTTCTGACCATCCTGGCCACAGTGAAATTCTTCAGAATTCAACAACACGGACACAGCTGGCCTTGGGATAGTCTGCGGAGTAGGGCGCCATCACCTGACATCGAGCAAGAAACCCAACAGAACTGGGAAAACCTTTGTGGCTTGTGGACCAAAGAGAAATAAAACAACACAGACCTAGGTGTGCCACAGTCTGCCACAGTGTTTTCAAGATTCACTGATGAGGAAATCTAAGATGATCTGAGAACAGACCGGGCCTCAGGTTGCAACCTTACAAGAAACTTGGCAACCAGTTCACCATACATTCGGAATGTTTCGGAAGCTCACCCTGGATTTGCCAGGTCTTTTAATGGCCAATGTTTTTTGGTGTTGTTTTCAGCTATGGATTTGAGGTATGCCGGTATGCCACCTGTTTTTGGAAAAACCCTAAGATTCATAGTTGTTCCAATAAACCGCATACCATGAAATGGAACCGCAATCAGGTTAAAAGACACTATTGGTATACCGGTGATACCGTTCATCTACAGGTTCCTATCCTTGTATTAACAATCTTGTAGTTAATCATCATTATACACCAATAGCTTATTAATAATCATCCCAATCTATAACTCTGACTATAGTCAAGTATACACACCAATACCTATTCAATAATGGAAATACACCATCAATAGTTGGTGAAAAAATACCTATTCAACCATCATCCAATACCTATTCAATGCCTATCCAACGATCATCCAATAGTTGTTGGTGAAAAATCTCGGTCATCGATGATGTGTTCGCGCCTCACCACTTCCTCGGCCGGCTCCTGGGTGAACCACCTTCACGTGCTCCTGGATTCTGCTGATTCCAACCGTGAGCATCTCACCATGGGAATGGTATGGCTGGTATGGTAAATGGATGTATGGCTGGTATGGTAAATCATCCATTTTGATGTTTTTTTTGGATAGGAAATCCGGAAATCCCCATCCCAACACTCCATTGGCATCTGGGATCTAGGAATACTGTATCATAAATGGATATATGATATATGTCATGGATATATGTCATGGATATATGATATATGTATCATAAATGATATATGATGTATCACAAATCCGATTTTTTTTTCGGGCGCGAGGTTGAAGTACCCGAGGGCGGAAGGATGAACTTTGATGATCGATGAAAATCCAGGAAAATCCTTCGTCCTGACAACCGACCAAAGAGGGCTTCCATTCAAGACATACCTGACAAACAACTTTTCTAGTCGCTAGAAGCCATTTCCGGAGAGGAGAAAACTGCAATGATCCATTATGATCCATTATGATCCATTCAAATAAAATGACAGATGAAGATGCACCAGTCTTCCAAAGGCAAAAAACTGCCAGCTCTGGCCGTCCAAGCTGCAAGTCATGCCCTGATCTGGATAATATTGTGTTGATCGACAATGATTCTTCAATAACAATCTTGTTACAATCATAACAATACTAGTAGCAACTACAATAATAAGAATAACAATAAATACAATAGTACGAACAGAAATTGAATAGAATAAAGATTCTATAGATACATAGTAATTCATACTACTATGATTTATCACTATTATTTTAAAGATAGTAATGATCAAGATCATACCTGTCCTGGGTGACATGGATCTGCAGGTCGCGCCTCAGCTGAAACCGATGTCGCCGGCTCAAGCAGCCGGTTGCTGGGACCGTCTGGGTATTCCCTTAAAGCAGCGGAGTCATCTAAAAATGATCAATTAGTTTACTATAGATTAGTTTTCAATGAGTATTTTGTAATGATCAGTATAATGATAATTAAACTCATCTAACTGATCTAACTGATATGATCAGTAATTATTGTTTATCATTCATGATTATTTATTTATTCATGTGTATTCCATAAATTCCGAAAAAAGAAAATACAAGATGTTACAAGCTTTGGGAGTTTCATGATTTTATTACCACTTGTCATTGATCATCATCTTTGGGTCTCCAAAGCTCTATCGTATCGAGCCATCCCGCTTCGCATCGCATACCGAGCTGCGGATGGGGATCGTTCTGATCCCGGAAGTGGCGCACCGGAAAGCGCGAGGCGCCCGACGACACGATGTTCTCCTGTTCCGAGGGGGCGATGGACCATGGGAAGCCACCCTAAAGGCTGGGTGACCCGTGACCCTGTGCCGAAAATCGCCAAAACATGCAAAAAACCATGAGAATCCAAGAATCCAAATGAATCCAAAGTGTCAGAATCCAGGATAGATATCCAATTCCCCAAAAAACGTCCCAAAAAGATCCTTTTGAAAAAGGTCATGTCATATCACTAAAAACTCCATCAGCCCACCAGTGGGCGCTCCAGACTCATTCGCGTGATGGGGTCCAGCTCAAATGGGCCAATAATCGCCTGTGCCTGGGGGATTTCGCATTAGCGGGCATAGCGGACTTGGAGATGCCCCCATCGAGCTCGATGATGAGGGATGATGCACCGAACTTTGATGATTTTCAATAGCGATTAGTGAAATTTCTTAAATCAAACAGCTCTGGTCATCTGCAAAATCACCTGAATTGTGGGCATGAAAGTAAAATTCACACTTTTTCAGCAACTACACTTGGTTTCTCTAACCAAAAAAACATGTTGATGTGGTTTGGGGGTGTTTTGGAAATAATGCAGACCCAGTATTGATCTGGTCGAGTCAATGAGCAAGAGGGGAAAATCATGGGAAATCACAGTCTCAAAGAGCGTGCCCTTGGGTTTCCCTGCAACACATGCGTTAGCACCGGTTGAGCCATTTCAAATACCCTTTTGGAGATTAGTTCTATGGAGATTCCTACAGTGCATTCTCTGAATTCCTGCTCGACCACCCAATACTCCCCAAGATTTTCACGGCTTTAGTACTAGGATCAAGTTATTAAGTCATGAAGTCATGAAGTACCCTCTGGTCATTGAAACATACCCTCTGGTAAACATACAAAAAACTATGGAAAATCACCATTTTTCATGGATAAATCCACTATAAATGGCCATTTTCAATAGCTATGTTAGTTTACCGGAGGGTAACTATCGAAAATCGAACCAATCATCGAACTCAACGGCCCATATGGCATCCATGGCATCGCCTAATATCACCTGAGGCACCGCGCCACGCCAAGCTGACGCTGACCTTCGGGCTCTGCCAGACAAATGATCTGCATGCCTCGGCCGAACATGGGATGATTTGCGATGGCATATGAATTAATTGGGCTAAAAAATCATGACATATTTGGCATATCAAAAAAACAACAAATCCAGCTCCAGAGGTCTTACAGAGCGCTCGAAGTCTAGTGAGGGACCGACCCACATCATCAGCTGAGGCATGGTACCTTGGCAGCAGCTTGCAACGCAAGCGATGAGACACTTGGGTACATCAAAGAGGAGGAACCCATTTCGGCACACCTTGGGAAAAAAATCTGCACTCAAACCACTCAAGTAGAGCATCAACTGGGGCATGTTGCGTCCCCTGTTACAGGATTCGGATCGTCCAAAGTCAGCTGATATAACTCTGCCTGATGGTCGCACAGAAAATGAACCACACTGATGCTGAAATAACTTGGAGCTCCCGCATGGAAGAAGTGATGCCAGGTATTTCAACTGTATGTGAACCTCAGATGGCAAACCAGCTGGTTGCAGCCTGTGACATCTCCCATCAACTAGAGTAACTAGAACCTCTGGTCCCTTGGTGTTGAGAACCTCGGAGCTGGATCCACCCAGAATGTGGGTAATGCCCAATGCCATCAACGCACCATCACCATTTTTATAGCCACCCTATGCCACCCTGGTAGTGTTTTGAAATTCCCATGGTTAAAAAATGGCATTGACCCATGGGAAAACCTGGCTCTCAAAGAGCCACTGAGATGGCGGCCGATCCGCCGGCGCCAGCGACAGGTGAGCGGCAGGGGCCTGCCTTCTCCATCCTGCGCCGACGCCACCAGGACGCCTCGGGGGATGGAGTTTCCCCAGTTTCGGCTACCCCAAGCTGGCTGGTTTTCATGGAAATTCCCAAAAAGAAATAGCTGGATGATCACTGGGAGCCCGAAAAAAATATATATGGAAAGCTCCCCATATGGATGACCAGAGAAAATAACTGGATATTGGGATGTTCTCCAATGATTTAAAGGTTTGCAAACTGGAAAAAAACATCATTTTTTATAGGTACATCATAGAACTAAATAGGCCATGGCTTCCATAGCTATGCTAAACCAAAGGGTAGCTTGAAAAATCAAGCTAAATCCCAAGCCAAGAAGACCAACACCTGCCAAATCCCATGAACCATCGGCAAGGTGAGGCCCTTGGGCACCAGGAAAGTGCCCAAGCGCCAGCCCGAGCGCCGGCCCTGCCTGTTTGGCAGAGACCTCCATGTTCACTTCGGGGTTCAAAGTGCAAGGAGAACTGGAACCTGGGCAGGTCAGTCTGGATCGGCAGCTGATTCTAAAACTGGCAGCCAGAGGTCAGTGGAAATGATTTCGAAAACCAAAACATACTAAAAAGCACAAATGATTCAAATGATTCAAATGATCCATTACAGTAAATGAAATTTCGGAATCTTTGACCACAGGAGACGGCCAAGTGAAGAGGTTCTTGCATACGGTGCACCTTTTTGCAGCTAGGGCCACGGCGCACTCATGATGCGGGCAGCGTCACGGCAGCTTTGTTTAACGTGGCAGATAAATACATGGAATATCAAGTGATGGACGAGCCATCTCATGTTTGGATACATCGAAAAAATATGTTCCCCGGAAAAATTGGAGTCGAAACCCAACCAATCAATATGATCAATATGGTCTTGGCCTATTTAATAGGGTACCCATCCATTTTTGCAGGGTTTATCCTCCATTCCCTTATTCAAAGTGCCCGGAATTGGTGGGTTCACCATCTGTCATTGGCGCTGCCATTGGCTGATCGCCGTCGCCCACACCATGGGCCAACGGTCGGGTCGTGATCGCAGCTGACTTACAGTTCTGGTGTAGGTCGACACAACGGATCTGAGACGATGGCAATCCCGAAGTCTGTCCAAATTGGCATGTTAGATGGGCATGGGTCAAAATTGGCTAATCATTAGCTGACCAATTTTTTTGAGTTGTTTCAAAGAATATCGATTTTTCAGCAGCAAAATATGGACGGAAATAACAGATCCTCTGGTTGAAGACTTCAAATGACCCAACTCCTGCGGTGCGCGAAACATGGCATGAAGCTCCTGGGGCAACTCAAAAAGCGTCCCAGATCCACACTGGTGCCGCACCAGAGCGGTGGTTCACAAAGGTTCCGCGTTTCGGAGAGAAAATTCAGCCAGGTAACCAGGTACAGATCAAAAAGTGGAGTTGGATAGACTCTATATGCACCTAGAAATTTGGTCATTTTGAACACTTTTTTTTTAATGATCCATAATCCGCACATGTGGAAAATGGTAAAAACTTCATCATCCGTTGTCCAGGCTTGACTGGTTCGCGCATCTTCAACCGAGACATCCTGTGAAGTCCTCGTGAACCACAGTCCCCACTTTTTCGGGGCCGACCCGAACCAAACTCCCTGGTGGAAAAGCCAACTGGGCGCTTCAAAATGTCGAATGCCATCTGCACCATCCCCAAATTACCATTTTAATGGCTTCATCCCCAATGGGTGAATCCCACATTACTTTCCTCTGAAATCCAGCTCAAATCCAACGACTTTTTCCAGGATCGCCCTGTTCAACGGGAGCAACCGGGTTTTTGTTCTGCCCATGGGTCCAAAACTTCGCGGCGCGGTTAGTCATCATTGCTGAGCTGTTCAAGATCAAAACCGTGCAGCTGGTCCAACCTTGGGGATGCAGAGGCAGTTGGATGGACCACACTGATGAACCAAACACGCCGATCATGTTGGCTAGCTTGGAAACAACACACCTTAACATCATCCATCACATAAGGAATCCATTGTTTGCCCCTTGTCTCCATATCAACTCCATCATCAGAATTTTGTGGATGATGTTCTCCATCACCAAATCCATGGCCATGGCATTTTCCGGCCCAAGTCACAAGTTTGCTCTCAGGCTGCCAGGACCATTGCTGCTTTGGGAGGCTGCCTTGCCGCTGTCATGGATGGTTCTCATAGCTGGTGAATGGATGCTGATGTCCCAAAAAAATATGGTCATGATAGGTAATGAGACCCATCCCCCACATGATCCACATGTGTTTTTCAGAAGGCCGGTGGTTTTTTATAAACAACGCGCCTCAGAGCAAATGCCGAAGTAGGTGAACCTCGGGATGATTGGGGATCACCCAAAAATCCCAAAAAATCAACAGTTGTGTTTTTCCAGGTTTGTTGCCTTGTGAGAAAAATTGAGAAAATGTAGGATATGCAGGGGAGACTATAAACATCTATAAACGTGCCAAGAAAGAGCGATGCATTTGTTTTGATGCGTTCAAAAAACACGCCGCACAACAGCTTGCAACAACGGCATGGACCCGTTGTAAATCTCTAGTCGGAGTTGAAATAATTTCCACACGAGACTTACCGAGGCTTTAGTGAGGCAACCACTTCACTGGCCAAATTGATGCCCTAAGAGTTCACCCGCGGCAGAATGGGGAGGCTTTTTTTACCCAACAAAAACGGGTTTTTTTGTTCGCCAACCAACTCAACTTTCTCAACCAACTCAAATAGTCACCAAGAAAAACCAACAACTTGAGAGGATGTCAACAAAAATACCACAAGTAGAAAACAACCAAGAGACGCATACAAGGCTGCCTCGGCATTGCTGAAACCAGCCGGTTTGGCAGCCACGAAAGCCGCAATGATGGAGCTGACCTGCGCGTTCAATGATGGTATCGTGGAAAATCCAGTGGTGATTTCCGACCAGCAACCCACTGGGTTTGTCCAAAAAAACTTCTGGTGATTCAACGAATTAAGATGGGGAGATTTACGTAAACACTTTGTAACTTGATATCACCAACAAGAATGGAGGGCTGGAGATATACATTCATTGGACAGACTCCCGGTCCTGATTCTTAGGATACGAAACCGTCCAATTCTTGCGCGGAACCCGGCATGTGTCAACTGACACAGAAGTCAAACGAAAGAGATTTTTGTGGCGGTATATTCTAAGTGTGAAACTAAAGTGTCTGAATTAAATGCCAATTTTCACATCTTCACAGCAAAATGTTCCATGAGATCATGAAATGAGTGATGCATAGGCCAGTTTATGACATTTTTTCAACAGGTAAAATGATGATCAAGCAGCGGATTGTCCCCCTGTTCGTCATCATCTTCACAATTTACCCTCCGGTAATCACACTTGGCAACTGGGAAAATCTAAAAAATGGAGGTTTGACTGGGAAAACTATACACTGGAATTGTCGGAGGGTAACTATTTTTGAACCCCAATTTCGGATCTGAGGATATCTGAGGTATGATTTAGATATTTCATGATATTTCTATACCCAAAAGATCCTCGAAATCGAAATGGGAATGGTTTGTTACCCTTGCGATGTTTTATGTCATACCGAGTCATACCTCAATAATTGAGAAAATGGGTCAAAGTTGGGATCTTTTACACAAAATGTCATTGTTTACATCATACCGCAGCTCCAATAATTGCTGTGAACTAAGGGATTCTAAGCAGCTCTATGGGATGATTTGCGCCCAATACGACATTGTGCTGTAGATAATTGGATCATCAATTTTTGATCTATGAACATCTATGAACCACAATAGGAGATCCATCTTCTATTTACAATTGGGATTGTTATCATGATGGTTGATCATCAATGAATTAGTTTGTCGGGAATGCTTACAGGAAACACCCCCCAAAAAAAAAGTGGGATTTTATCCATTTCCGGTGATGTTCCCTTAGTAACTCATCCATTGATTATTCCAAAAAGGGACGTTTTCTCGTGATGATCAATCCCGGACAGATCTCAGTTTGGCAGAGGCACCAAGCATCCCGCCGCAGTGATCTTTTGTAGCATCCTGGGCGATTGGATGATGAGGGGGTTGCTGACAATCTGCTGACCAAAATGGAGGAAAATTGGCTAAAAATGTCGCATTTCAAGGCTGAAAAGTGAGAAAAATGGAGGATAGATCTGAGCTGGAGAGAGGGAGGTATAGATCCCCCATGTTTGTTTAACAATATTAATACCGGTTCCCCAAGAAATGCAGATGACTGAAGCACTGGTCCAGTGACGCCACGCCGTGTTCACAGCTGAACTGGTTGCCCTCTGGTGTAATGACGTAGTCCATCGCCCCAGATATACCCACGACCTCAAACCCAGGCGGTTGCAGCAATATGGTGAGTGGTTCTTGGTTTCATTGCCGTTCCCAAGAAAATCCGCGAGGCGTTCCGGTTGAAGTGGGCCAAGGAGACTATGGAATCTCAAATGTTCTGGATTCCCAATCTTGAGATACGCCCATTTTGAAGACTATTCTCTGTATCAATTTTTTGCCAACGTCTCAAAATTGAAGACTCTGGCGGAACTAAAAGCAACCCTGAGCTTTCATGTTATACCCCGATTTCAGTTGATCAAATTCCCATGTTTTTTTGCTGCTTAATCCAAAATTTCTAGTCATATTCTAAACATCTTTATATACGTCCATCCATCTATCCATCCATCCATCTATGTCATTCATATCTATGTCATATAATTATATATATATAATATACACAATAATTTCGTATATAAACATATAGTAATAATAGTAATATCAGATATCCATCCACTTATCCATCTATTTTTTCAGCTACCCTTCACTTCTCCCTCTGGGGATTCGACACATCGATATTTTGCCGCCAGGAGCTTCGCAGCCTTCACCGCCCCGTCGGAGCCTCAAATGTTGGGATTTTGGTGCCCCAAAGCCATGGCTGAACATATCAAAAAGGACTGAAATGGTCCATTTCTGACATTTTTGATACCTTTTTTGGAGAACCCCCCCGCCGCGTTTGATTACCAGAGGGTTCATGATAATCCCATTATCAAAATATGATCCCCATATTAAAAAAGAAAAAGAAACATATAAAACCAGATAAACCCATCTTAAATCCCCAGGAAACCAACTCTCTACCCCGCAATCCTCGTTCCCAAACAAAATCCGAGTTGCCTTTGGTGGAGTCCACCCCTTTGCCGGCGCCATCTGCACCACTCAGCGACAAGATCTCGCTGGCATTGCCACGCAGCACGGCACACCTGATGGAAACCATGGAAAAACCGTGGGGTATCCGATTGACCCTATTAGATGGTGAATAATGATTGTTACTATCTATGATTAATTCATGATTTTTTTAATTTTCATGATTAATGATGAATCATTTTTATGATTTGCCGATGATTAATAGCCATTATATGCCATGATTCATCAAAATTGGGGTCCATTAGAGTTGCCCTCCGGCTCATCCCAGCTAGAAACCTCCCAGTCGTATGGGGGATTTCCCAGCTTAGCCATGGCTAGTCGAGTCATGTTCTGTTCTAAACCATTGGAAAAATTAGGGTGGCTTCCCCATGGATTTTGACACAACAAGCCCTTTTTTGTTTTTGGTGAATCCCTAAGGATTCCCATATATTCCTATATATATATACATATATGTATATATATATATTCCTATATATATATATAGTTTCCATTGTTTTCCTGATAGTATTTGTGCAACCCCATGTTTTTTTCCAGGGTTTTTCCCGAAACATTTCCGACTCATCACCGGTAGCTTGGCTTTGGGAGGTGTTTTGATGAGGTGTTTTGCCGTTGGTATTTCATCATCATTCGTCATCGTCTTCATGAAATTTTGACAATTCATGAAATGTGGGACTATTATGATAGACTAACATGATAGACTATTATATGATGTTTGGAAATAATTCAGGTGATCATCATTCCAATTTTTTCAGTTTGGACAATCACACGGAATCCTCAATATAGCAGTTAACGGTTCATAACCCCTTCTTTACTTAAATATTTCATTGTCAAGCATCGACCATCATGAATGTCATCGTGTATCCCTGACATTTGATTCCTATTTATGTTCATTGTTTAAAGCCATTTAGAAGCATTAAAGCTGGTTAAATCTGCATGAAAGCACCTGTCATCACAACTTCACAATGACAGGTACCCGTCACAGCACCTGGCAGTGTTGCAGTCAAGGGACCCGCCCATCTCTAGTAGCTCAGTGGCCACAGAGGTCCTACCAGCTGGAAGTATCACATTTGTATGTATAACATATTATATAACATATTATGTGTGTATTGTATATATATACACACATTGTATATATATATGTATATGTATGTATATATATATATATCTACCCATTATAAAATATATATATATATGCCCATTATATATATATATTATATATATACACCCTACATAAAGATAATCTATTATATATAGTATATTATGTTAGATGGGTGTATGGATGGACCTATGATGCCAGTGATGTCGCAGCTCTGCCGCCTGAGGGGTGTGAAGCCAGCGGCGACGGGGTCCAAAACCCAAGGCACTTGATGCTCGTTGCAAGCCCTGCCGGAATCGAGGCTGGGCAGGCACCAATATCCTGATTTTATGGTGGTTTAACGGTGGTTTAATGATGATTTCTGACGATTTCACCCTAAACCTCCATTTTGATCGAAAATGTCCCATGTTGACAACGATACTTGTACACTTTCACAGTTGACAATAGAAAGGGCGGCATTAAACATCATGAAGACCATGGGCTGTGGCTGTCACAACTCTGCACGATCACCGTCATCGGCGGAAGCTTGAAAGACAAGTGGCTTCACCGCGCACTTGAAGGACTCAATCCTCAACAAATCGCAGAATTCAAGACTCCAAACCACATGTCACAGCCAAAGTGGTGGACAGAATTAGCAAGAGAGGACATTGAATTTCGACTTCGATATCTTCAATTCTCATGAATTCTACCACTTGTTAGCTCTGCAAGAATACACGAAACTTTCGCATTCGCCCGAGTCAATTTGGTTCTTCGACGTTGATTCGACGGTGACCGTTTTGACCGAGTCGCCAGAGTGCATCCAGCGTACCGATGTTGATGGACACGGCCCCTCCGGCGGCCTTCACCTTGCTGATGGCCTCAAAACGGGACACCGTTTTGTGGAAAACTTTGCCGGTAGCAGCCGGTTGCATAGTTCTGATCCCCCGAAACAAATGGATCAAAAACGATCAGATTTGCTATTTTTGTTGTGAATTACAGAGTTAAAATAGGTACTTAAAATAGATGTTAGCCATAGTTAGAATGTCATCAGCTTTCCCATGGTGTCTCCTTTCAATGGCCCATTGTTTGATCCCAAGGTGCCACATCCAACTCCTCCACGGAGTGAACCATAGCGGGATGGGCGCCCAGAGCCAGCAGGCCATTGGCCATAAAGTCCATACTCACCTCGCTGCTCGAGTTAAGGATGGATAGGATGGCTGGAAAATCATCTGTTTTTATGGGATTTTTAACGGTTTTGTATGGGAAAATCATCCAGAAATGAAGGTTTCAATGGGGAAAAATACGGGAAAATCCTCTATACTCTATACTAATGGAGGATTTTCCCGCAAGCCATGTTTGATTACCAGAGGCTAAGCAACAAGAAGATGCCTTTTTTGCGCCTTGCAGAAGTGTGGCCTATTCCTGACAGAGGACCCCTGGTTCCCACCGAGGAGCAAAATTGGTGAGGCATTGCACCAAAGGTCCTTTGGCCTCTGCAGGTCTCAGAGTTCCCCATGTTTCCCATGGGTCCGTTCACGGTACCCATCACGAAAAATAGCTGGTTAATGGATGTTTCTTCCCCAATTTTTGGTAGGGACCCATCACAATTGTTGGATCCTGTGGATTCTGTTACACCAAATGGAATTGCAATGACTCCGCGACTCCGCGACTCCGCGACTCCGCCTTTACGGCGCGTACGATTTCCTGCAACCGCTCCAGTGTGCCATTCTCGTCCATGACCACGAAGGAGCGAACCCCGGTCGGGTCGCTCCGTGCAAAGCGAGGGACGAGGACTTCGTGGCAGATGTTGGGATGGGATGGATTCGGATGGAGCTGATTTTTGTTCGGTGTGTTTGCACATGTTTGCACTGTTCCTATCTGTTTCGTTCACTATTTCTGACTGTTTCCACATGAAAGGTGTTTACAAAGAAGCTTCCTAAGAACTGTAAAAAAGTTGGATTCTGTGGATGTGTCACTGAGATGGTCCTGTGGGCTACTCAGCCGCCAAGCTCGCCACAGAACACAGACTGCGTTGGAACTCAAATAGGTACAATATCTGAGACCAAGAAAAAATAGCCCATACACAAAGCAAAAAAATAGAGATATCACGAAATTCTGTGCCTCAACACTCAAATTTGTTTCTGCGGTTGCAAAGTTGTCATAACTTGTCCACTCTGATAACATATGACAAACTATGTTTAGGGTTGATCTCAGGGCAATCACTTCAGTGATTCAAAAAATCTACCTAAATCTGCAGGGAAAGCACCAGGTTTTTCCGGTGATCCACCAAGACATGCCATGTAGCCAGCATTTCTGGTGATCATTTCTCAGCGATCAAGCTAGCTTAGCTACAGCCCAGTCAACTTAATGTGGCATTTAAAAAAAAACAACAAATCATGCCCAATACACAAATAAGACAAGTGACAAGTGAAACCAATATTTAAAAAAAAAACATACCAAATATAATTCATCGTGTACCCATGTTCTATACCCCATTTACACCATCTTACAAACAATATTCGAAAAAAAAAAATAGAGAAAAAATGTATGTCTTCAAATCACCAAACCTTTTTTGGGGGGAACAAATCATAATTCACCACTAAAAAAAAAAAGACCGCATTCTCCCGCCTGTGATCTCCGGAAACCTTGCCCCGCCTGGGCAGAGATGGTCGGTCGTCCAAGTTGGAATATCTTCCGGAAAAGAAAAAACATGGGATGATTACATTTCTTGGGTAATAATAATAGTTAATAATAATAGTTAATAATGATTGATAATGATTGATAATGATTGACAATGGTTGATAATGTCCATAGTTAATAGTTATAATAAGTTATTATCCATAGTTAATAATTGGACAATAATAATAGTTAATGATTGATAATGGTTGATAATGTCCATAGTTGATGATCCCCAATTAATAATAGCAAATAAATGTAAATAATGATTAATGGTTGATGAGGGGAATAATGGAGGAAGATTACATTGATTATAGTACATTGGATTGGATGAAATGCCGAAAAATCATCCAAAGATCGCCAGATCCTCCAAAGCCAGACCTGTTCCTTGACTGAAACCAGCAGTTTTTGTGAAGGAAAATCACACAGAAAACGGAAGACTGTGAAAAAAAAACACCGATTCACTCTTTCCAATTCGCCCATCGGATTTTTTGACTTCATACTGGTTTTCTCCAAACTTCAATGGAACCTGTGCGCGCTCTCGGCTCCAAGTAGCTGTGAGGCTTGATCCTTAGACCATGGGCACACAATACTCGTTATTCCTCGCGGCGATGCATTAAGATACCTATAAATACACAATACACAAGTATGTAATACTATGTATCTATGCATTTATAATTATATATATGCCACATGATGGATGTGATATGTCTAAATAGATATGTCTTACAACAATCGTATACATGTACATTTATGTATAGATCTACTTCTCTGTATGTATACATACATACTTATATATACTTATATTATACGTGTATATATATATACAGTATATATACATGGCACATGCAAGTGATATCACCCTCCACTGGCGGAAGACAACTTGGGGGGCTTTCATGTCGGAGGATTTGCAGTCCAAGGATCTCGAAGAGATTCGCCAAGCGCCTGAGGGCAAGCATGGTCCGGTTGTGTGTTATTTTCTTGCAGATGGTGGCATTTGAATTAGCAGATCTTCTTTTTTGAGATGCCAATATCACAATCTATCTATCTATCTGTCTGTCTGTCTGTCTGTCTGTCTGTCTGTCTGTCTATCCCTTCTTATATTCTATATATATATATGTATGTACATATATGATATATGTATGTATCATATAGCATATATCTCATATATTTAGATATTTCCCCGGCGAAAACTCCCCTTCTTTACCCAGGCTGAACGCCTCGAAGCCTCTGCCGTGACCTCCGCAGCTATTGGGCTATCCCCATGGCTATGGAAACCCCCAGAAATGTGAAGTTCATGTTGCCATAACTTAACTTTGGATGTTAAATCTTATGAAGCTGCTCGAAAATGGGACTGAAAATGATACTGCATAGAACTTGATGTACTCACCAAAATTCAAGCCTACAGGGTCACATAGGATAAAAAAATATTCAAAACATCATATTGGTTTAATCCGTTCCGAAAAGGGGGTCCCACAGATGACTCGGGAATCGTTCCTGGATTCCAATCAGCTTGGCGCGCTGGCTCTTTTCGGCCGAACATCCTCCCTTTGGAGTGGCCAGACCCCGCATGTTTCGTCATTTTCTATGGTTGATGAGCAAAGAATAGGGATCTAAGTGGACAAATGATCTACCAACTGCAATGGCAACGTTTCCGATTGGAAGATGCATTCTCAAAGAAAGGTGTCTGAAGCAGGATTTTCATTCTCGAGCTGGTGACAATAGGTTTTTCACTGGCCGCACAGAGCTTTGCGGCCACTCGATTGGTCTGTAGACGACTTGATGCGCCTCACAACCCATTTACCCAGCACGGAAGCATTCAAACCATGAAAAAGGGGTATGTCCAGGAGAGTGTCCACAAACAACTGCCATTTCTATCCATTTCTTGATATCATTTGGACCCGGATCTGAAGGTAGAGAAGGTGTCGCATGGGAACTTCTGGCGCTGTTCGAAAAACAGGGCGTTTTTAGAAACCCCTGTAGAACGGGCCAGTATGGCCAGTGTCTCACCGGCCTCCCGGCGAAGAAATCTAGCAGACACTGCTCAGCAGGTCTCTGGAAAATGTCGGTCAAAGCAGTGGAAATATGTGGAAATGACAACTCCGAATGGATAGGGCCACGACAGAAAATTCTGAATTCGCCTTTCTGGGGATGAGGATGTAGATGATGTAGACAAAGCCAACCTGTTTTTTAGTCTAGCTGAAGATCAATGTTTTTTCACTTCGGTGTGCTGTGGTTCAACATGTTCAACTTCCAAAATGCTTGGCGAAAATCACTGCGAAGTCCTTCAAAATAGCAACGCAAATGCCTTTGGCATCTGAAACATGGAAGCTCACTGGCAAGGTGAGCAATTGGCCTTGATCTGATCTACATGGATCATCATGGATCGTTTTTGTAACAGCATTATTCCCACAAAATGCCAAAAAAAACACGACTTGACATCATGTCAAGTCCACAAAATTTTCACCTTGCAGTGGCTAGGCCTCCATATTTCCATCATAATGAGCCGCATGAGCTGGAAGAATTCCGAGATCAAAAACTACATTGTTGTTCAGTCCCAACTGAAAGCTTCGGTCTTCGTGTCTTCGTGTCTTCGTCCGTTCCTGGTTCTCCACGTGAGAACGATGGTGCTAATGATGATTCTTATTAGTACCATCGCATAGCATCACTATTTTTCAGATGACTTTCTCGTGTTCCAACTCATTGGGCTGCGAAATCAACTGAGAACTTGGATCAGGGCTTCGTCCGAGATGGGAAAAAAACATCAAGTTTCATGAAAATTGCCATGACTTTTGGGTATGGTAAATCAATGTAAAACATCTGTTTTCATGGCATATCCCCCCATTTTTGGATCCATTTCTCGTGCCCTGCATGTTCCTCTCAGGGCAGGAGCTCCAGTGACGAGCTGCGGGAGGGCCCCCGAATCCGACGTTCAGCTGGAAAGAGGAAACTGACAAATTCATCGAAGCTGATCTCACCTGCACAGGCATGGGGGTGGACCCATGGCGCCATGGGGGGTAGCCAAATAAAAAAAACTGGTTGGTTTATTTCATGGAATCCCAAAAAGTGGATGATAACTGGGGGTACCTCCATGACTTAGGAAACCTCCAGTTGTTTTTTGACCGTTTCAATGGAAAACGGTCGAAAAACCACTCGAAAACTTGAGCCACTGAGGCTTCGACCATCCTGCGCCTGGAAGCTTCAAAGCTCTGACACAAATTGAAATGGTGAAAGGATGTGAAAGGTGCATTCCAAGGTTGTGAACATGTCATAACATGTCCAATCCTCACACGTCCCGAACTCAAATACGCTACCCCTGTGACTGCAGATAGGAAAAAGTCAGGCTTTGGATAGGTTGCTGCAGGTGTTTCACTTTTCCCAGATGCGTATACCGTGCAGGAAGGAAAAAAACATCAATATTAACAGCCATGACTGGGAATGGTAAGTTTCTACCACCTTTTTCAAAACGGTGATTTTCCTGGTGGATGGTGCGTTTATGGCATCGTTTTACCCACCTTTTTTATGCCAAAAAAATCCTTGGGAGATCCAGGTTTTTAACATCCACAGGCCATCCACCATCAGGGCACTGGATGCATCATGGAGAAAAGCTCGTCCACTTCCTGCAATCCGAGCAGCTTCATATCTTCATCCAGGTTTGATATCTTGATACCAGATAGTACAAGAATATGCAGGATATATAGATTATATATAGATTATATATAGATTATATATAGATTATATAGGGGATCTCAAAGAAGTAGATCCCCAAAATATGTGTTTCCCATTTCCATCCTTGAAGATCGGGCAAAAAAATGAAAAACACGTGGCCCATCCAGCTGGCCTCCTGCTTCAGGTTGGCCCCAACCTCCGAATCCAAAAGGGGCGGATTCGGAATGCTTCCACTAAGCAGACCATCCATAAAAAATAGGAAATGAAGACAAACCATCCACAAGGATCCAAGGATCCAAAATTCAGCCCACACAGTTGAACCAAACAAGCACAAGCAAACGCAAAGGAAATGTCCTCTGGATCTCATGAAGAACTCTCCAGAGTCCACGTTTCAGCCCATTGGAGACCGCATGTTCTGCATGTTTTGATCCTAGCCATCCCAAGTTTGAGCAGTACCCTACTCTTTTGACCCATCCCCAATTCGATTTTGTCTCTGAATTCAAGATAGTGTGCTTTTTCTATACCAACTATACCAACTAAGCCTTAAAATCTTGGAAAATATGTCCTTTTTCCTACGGTGTCCATGGTTTTTCCAGAGGCTTTCTCCATGGATTTTCCGGTTCCAAGGCTTCCCCGGGACGGTCCGCGGGCTCGCTGGCGCCTGGGTCAGCACAAACTGCAGCTCTGCTCCGCTGATGCTGCCCGACACAGCCAGGTCCCACAAACGGAAGACCGCCTGCCTCCAGGGTCGGTGTATAAAGATGGGAGATGGATATATTATATATATATACATACATACACATGGTTTAATCCCTCCAAAAAAGGAAGAAGTTGGTGTTTGAAGCACCCAAACGCAGTGTGATCAAAGCCATTTTTGCTCTTGGCGCTCCCAAGAATCGGCCCAGAAATCCATCGTGGAGAAATCTGAGTAGCCAACAGCGGCTGGTGACTCACTGCATCAGCCTGCCAGAAATCATCATTATTTGACTGGCTCCCCATATGATGATGGTTTACTAAAACGATATAATGGTGGTTTAGCCATTAATCATCATCGTATCATGATTAATCCCCATTCGTTGGCCAGTGTCAACTGATATCACCATTATATATGTACGTATATATATATATCAATACTGACTCCCCATGGTTAAACCCCATATGTGGACTTTGAAACTTTGCCTTGGAATTCTTGGCAACCGCAAAATGCATCAAAATGCTACGTACGTGCACCGATGTGATCATCCGACCACTAAAAAAGGCCAGGATATGTTTGACTTAAATGTTTTTTACTTTGACTTAAAGCCATGGTGGTCATTGTGGTCATTGTGGTCATTGTGGTCATCCCCAGAAAAAAATTCTCCACATCATTGATCCAGAGGGAACAAAACGCCAGTGTCACCATCGCCTCTGGTCGCAACCATTCACCGAACTCCTTCATCTCAAAGAAGCCGTTGCAGTTGCAATCCGCCATGGCCCATTCCTAACGGAACAAACGCCATGATGTGCGTTGAAAGATATTCAAAATCATCAGTGATGTCAATATGTCAATGGTCAATGATGGTTGATGATGGTTGATTATGGTTGATGATGGTTGATGATGGTTGATGATGGTCAATAATCAGTAAATGCAAAACATCATCAGTAAATCAGTGATGGCAATGTCAATGTCAATCATCAGTAAATAATCAATTAATCATCCCATCATCCACATATTCCCATCATCCCATCATCCCATCCCACCTGATCAATCTCCTGGCGGCTGATTTCTGGAAAGGTGCGACGGAGCATCAGGGCGAAGTCCTCGGAGAAAAGCGGTGGGTTTTCATAGGAAAATCATCGGAGTTCATAGCGAGAATCATCTATAAATATGATTTTAAATATCTGTAAATCGTGGAGTTTCCAGCATGCCGCGTTTGATGACACCGGAGGCTAGCTGTTCTGGAATCAGATCATATCCAAATGATTCATTGAAATCTACCAACAGTAAAACTGAAAACGATACGGCTGCGATGAATTCCAAAACTTAGGTGGAAACAAGCGAAGAAGCTACGTAAACTTCTGACTCTAGATTTCAACATTCGTCCATGACCTGCCGGGGGTCAAGGCCCCAAAGAATGCTTTGACACGCTCGAAAAAAAGATCAGTCCGACTCGTGTGTTCGGAAAGAAATTCACAATTCTTTTGACGTCCATATCAATGAGCAGGACAATAGTGACATTTCTGATATTACTGATCAATTGAGCAAGATAAATGTAACAAATTTTCTCAATATCAATGGTCCATATCACTGATCAATTCTAAAACATGTCAATCTGCCAAGGTACTGCTGGACAGATCCTGCCATCACGGTCCTGGAGATCTCATCAAAATGAACACACCCAAAATGGATCAAAATGGGCGGCTATTGTGGATTATGGGATGATTGTGTATATATATATATATATTATTATATTATATTATATATATTATTATATTATATTATATTATATTATATTATATTATATTATATTTGTGAGTCTAGAGGGATGAATCCACCAACTTCTGCTCGAATTCTGAAAAAACCTGAAAGAAGGTGGCATCCGAAATGGCCGAAATTCTGGGGATTTCGCCACCAGCGGTTTCTTTTTCACCAGGATGGGTGATGGGGATGGGTCAAATTTCAAAACCAACGGTAGCCGAAAAAGCATGCCATGCAAACGGGCAGTCGAGCTGCAAAACTAGCATCATTTTGTTGCAAAAAAAGGCTTGCTATGTTGCTATGTCCTTGTCTGCAGCGCTGAAGCTTGCTTTCAGAACCTGGGCCAGCAACGCAATTTTACTGCGCAAAACCACACATGTTCAAAAAAAATGATCCAGCTTCAAGACAATGACAAAGTGCAAGACACTTTGCATCCAAATCTCTCCCAGCCAATTTTACATCCAACTTTAGAAAAGTTTATATTTATACATGTACATAATCCATCCATGTCCCATTGAAAAAGAAAAACTATATAAACACGTTCATGGCCAGTTCATCCTCAAATCCGGAACATATTGTCACTTCCTAATTCATAGCTCTTAAATTCATGGCAATTTATGGATGTTCATCATGTTATATATATGTTATATCATGTTCATTCCCAAAAAAATATGGAAAATCATCGGGTTTCCAACGGATTTCAACCCACCTCCATGACCTCCATCTTCCGCCAAGTCACCAGGGCGCGCAAGGCCTCCACACCGAGAGCGCTCACCGCGGCACCGGCCGCGGGCAGCGCCACGTTGCGCCGCGCTGAGTGCGACCAACGCTCTGCCGCGGACGTCCTCGAAAATTGAAAAAAATCGGAATCTCAAATGCATTTTGAGGTAAAATGGGAATCCCATTTGTGATGTTTTATGATGTTTATACATCAATTTTCAAAATTGGGATTGGTAAACATCATAAAACATCATAAAACATCATCAATCCCGTTAATCTACCACTCAGGCACTTGTTTCACCGAAAAAAACTAAGAGTTCAGGCCCCAAGATTGACTATACTACTATACTGTTCCCCATGGTCGCGGTCGCCTGTAGATTGCAGGGTTTCACGGTTTCACTTCGTCCTGAAGAGCGCCTTGGGCAATGCCGCGGACTGGGAAGATGTCCGGGGTGATGAGGAGGACCATGAGGACATGGTGGTCGATACCGAGCCGGTTCCACATCGAGATCGAGTGAGTCTTTCGCTGTAGCAAGCCTGGCAACAACATCAATCGCTGACCCTTGAGGCCAAGTGAGAACAAGCTTTTACCACTACAAACATGTCACTTTCTGCCTGAAAATACCGAATTGCTAAAGCGCTAGACATGTTGACCTTATGTTGACCTTATGTTGACCTTATGTTGACCTTATCTTGACCTTATCTTGACCTTATGTTGACCTTATGTTGACCTTATGTTGACCTTTGTCGATCCCTGACTTTTTCCGCATGGAGTGTGTCAAGTTCACAAAGCAATGCATGGACCAAGATCCAAAAGGACGACCTGAAACCGCCCTTCGTCCCACCGGCTGCCGCCTCATCCTCCAGCCCTGAATGGAATTTCTCGCGAGTCTTCCAACGTTTTCCTTGCGCCTCATTGACTTCTGCTTCCAGATGTCCAGAAAGGGTTTTCACCTCCAGGGGATCAACATCACACTTGGTGAGTGCCGAAAAGGGGGTTGAGTTTCAAGAGTTCTGTGGGTAGCAAAGGATGATCAACGGCAACTGAATGTGCATGCAACGCCGACCTCTTTTCGTCGGAATGCTTGCGCCCCGTGGGCTTCAGATTAATAATGGTGACACGCCGGTGGACATGTCTGACATCACTGCAGTCAATGGTGTCCAATGAAGTCCAAACACTTCATGCAATCACAGATACCCGTAAAATTTTGTTGACTGCAGTTCGTAAAATTCAATGTTCCACTCTTCAGGAACTGGTAAAGCGGAGCGCGGTTTCCAAAACGCTTGGTCAGACAATCCACTAGCATCTGTTCATGTCGGATCCACTTGATTTCGGTGGATGTCTCTAAAAGCGCTTGCCGGATCACTTGCATCTCGATTGCCGTTCTTCGGTCTTCCGTGGCCCCCACAGTCGTTTTGACTAAATGGTCGTAAAGAGATTTTGCATCCACCATGCAAAGACACTTTCTGAGAATGGGGCTGACATCCTCTTTGGTGATGGCTTCCAGTCTTCGCTTTTTGGCAGCTGCTTCCCACTCTTTGAGCTCAAAGTCTGCAATGCATAGTTCATTGTAGACCGTGATGGTCCATGCAAGTTCTTGGAGGCCCTTGGCTAAACTTTGGGTTTCTGCGGCCAAAGTCGAGTTGACCACTCGATGAATCTTTCCAGACCTCCAATAGAGCAGGTTCCCTTTTGCAACTCCTGTCTTGCCCAATGCTTTGTCGTAACACAAAATGCCAAAACCTCCTTGCGAGCTTCCTTGGCTCGCATTTGCGTATGCAGCATCTGTGATAACTCCAAATGCCATTCTGTCCTCTGAGATGGGCTGAATCTTGATACTCATGTTTGGGTGTTGCTTGGTTTCTCTGATGATCTTATTGAGATCCAGAATGTCCTGGATACGTAGTGAGTTCAGACAGCCTGCTATGAGCGATGCACCAGCTGCGCAATCTGGGCGTCCTTCTTTTGCGGCCCATGTGACTGCCCCAACTGCTGCCCTAGTTGCTGCAATCTCTTCTGCGTTTGCCTTTTCTTCTTTCATCGTGCTCCTGCCTTTTTCCAACTTCACTTCCTCCAAACGTTCTTCAACATACTTCTTCATGTCAATTTCAAAACCTCCTCCAGGGAGCACACGAATTCTTCTTCCGTTGAACGAAGCTCCTTCTGCTTGTTCTGCCAAATTGACAAACTTACCAAAAGAGAACTTGGTCTGAAGCTCCTGCAGTTTCACGTCATGATGGCTGTCGCCAAAACACAAAAGATCATCCACCTCCACTACGATGATTCCACTCAGTCGTGATTTTCCATCAGAACCTTTGTGGAAATATCTAAACGTGCATGGGTCCATCTCTGACTGCACATACCCCAGCTGGATGAGCACTCGTTTCAGCGATTTTCTCCAGTGTGCTGGAGCATCTCCAAGACCGTATGCACCTGCAAGCACCTCTATGATCTGATTGCATTTCATATTGAGAAGACCTCCTTTTGGCTGCTTGCAGAAGAGCCTTCCCTGTTCTCTTCGCAGGGCATCGCTCTGCATAAAGGCATTCTTCAGATCTGCTATGTAGGTCTTGAAGCCTTTGTTTGCTGCCAGCTGCATTGCTATTGAGATCACTGCTGTTGTGACTGTAGGTGCATATCTGTTTAAGTGGAGTAAATCCGGGTCTTTGTCTCCCCGGATACACCACCTACTCTTTCGAGATGGTGCCTCTCCCGGCTGATCTGCCGGTTTCCATCTGCGTACTACCCGAGAGGGTAATATTCTCTTCTCGTTTCCAGTCTCCTTGAGCTGCCTTTCAACCTCAAGTGACTCTTCTTCACTCAGGACTTTGACTGCTCCTGTGTTGAGCACTTTGTTCCATTCATCTTCGTCTGCCTTTCTCCAATGTGGCCATTCTTCGGGTGTTATGGCTTCTTCTGCTAGCTCGTTGCTGCCCTTCTTTACGAGCCATGCTTTTACTTCCTCCATATCTGCATGCTTCTTGAGTCTGAATTCAGTGAAACCTGTCCATGATCTCTTGGGCCCGTGTTCTTCTGGTGCCAGCTCCTTTGGACTCTGTCGCCAGTCTCCCTTCAGGATTCGGCGGCTTCCGTCTTCAAAGATTCTGACCACCTTCCTGGATGAGGTCAGGTTCTTCAGCTTAATTGGACATTCCTTTTCATGAGGCTTGAAATTCAGGGTTCTTTCCTCATTATGCACCCTGATCAATGTCTTTCTGGAGACATCGAAGTGCCATTCGTCCTCCATCTGTTCGAGCTCCACCTCTTCTTTGGCAACTTCTTCTGCTGTTTGGATGTATGCTTCTTCGGTGTGTGTCTGCCAGCACATCCATGCTGAGTGTGCTTCTTCCTCCTCTTGCTTGTCCTCTTTGCTTCTTTCTTCATAGGGCCTCCACCTCATTCGTTCGATTCGGCCCCTTACAGGCTCGAACATCTTCGCCGATTGGGTGGATGGAATTGTTCCATCTAGCCGCTCGTTCTGTAGTGTTGCTCTGGTGGCTTGCTCCATGACAGGTGAGGGAATGGGTTGGGGAATCTCCGGGGGCTCCTCACTAGCCGGAGATTTGAGTCTGTGCTGAGGGGTGCTGTTTGCTGACGGGGGCTCCTCAAAATTTCCGTCATTTCCTGCTGATGGGGAGTATGGCTCGGACACTGTGCCCTGCTTTGCTTCTTCAGTGCCCTCTGTCTGTTGTTCTTCTTCCATGAGCCGTCTTCTTACGGCGCTTGGCTCCTCATCTTCTTCTTCCATGGGTGGAAACTCCCAGCTTGTTATGTCTTTGAAGCCTCTCTTACTGGGTCTCCGCTTCATGTCTTCCTTGAGCTCTTCGAACTCATCCTTCAAGAGACCTAGTGCTTCTTCTTCTTCTCCGGTGGCCTTGCGGACTTGTTCTAAGGCGCATTTCCAGAGTTCTCCTCGCATGGAGATCCAAGCATTTCTTCCTTCGGTCATGATGACCGATCCTGGCCCACACCACATTGGTCTTGTGGTGATTCTGCTGTCCCTCTTGCGAGGTAGGGGCTTCCTGTACACGTACACCACCTCTCCTGGTAGAAAGACTGTCGTCTTTCTTGTCTGTGCTCTTGCTGCTCTGCTGATGCTTGCTTGTGCGTGATAAATGCTTGCATGGCTGCATCTCTGATCTCCAGAGATCTCCTCACGTCTGCTGCTGCTCCTGCTCTTAGCATGCTTGCATCGATCTTGTCATCTGCCATAAGGCTTCCTGGGATTCGGGTGTTTTGTCCCAGTTGTCTTTGTGCTGGTGAAAAGCCAGACCTGTGGAACATCCGGTTCTTGGCTGCCTCTACTTGATGTAGGCACTGTTGCCATTCATCTGGTGACCTTGGTGTCACTTGGTCCATCATCTTGATGAACATCTCCTTGGCTATGCCTCCATGTCTTTCGGTTCTTCCATTCTGCCAAGGTGCCCTTGCTCCGATGTTTCGGATCAATGCTCCATGCTCTCCTGCTTTCCTGGCGAATTCTCCAAGGAATTCTCTTCCTTGGTCCACCACCAAAACCTCTGGCATGCTAAACACTCGGCACCAGCTTCTTTGAAATGCTTGCCATACCTGCTCTGAGCTCATCCCTTCCAGTCTTTCCAATGTTTGATAGCAGCTTCCCCAGTCTGTGATGTTGAGAACTGGCACTTGTTCTTTTGAGCTGATTCCTGGGAAGAACACCACGTCTATCCCAACTACCTTGTTGGGTTCGTATGTTTGGGAGATAGCTGCTGGCCTTGCTGGCTTTGGCCTGCTGTGTTGTTTGCAGAGCTGGCACTCATATTCTTTCTTGACGTATTCCAGTACTTCATCCCTGGCACGTCCCATCCGCAGTGCTCTGCAGAAATCATCCCTGGCTGGGTGTCCCAGGTTTTGATGAAGCTTGTGTATTAGCTTTTTCTCTTGCGGCGTCACCGCACATGCCAGTTGTTTGATGCCTTGGTCTTCATCTTCCACCTCTTCATCGGTGGTCGGCTTCATTCTTCCGATAGCCTGTGTCTCCTCATCTCCTTCCAACTCCCTATCCAACGCATCCTCCAGGTCTTCACCTTCATCTTCCTCCACCAGCACCACTTGTGATGATGCGTGTTGCTGTGCTCCTTGTATAATTGCTTGGCATAATGCTGGTGTGTACTCCTCTGCTGCTTTTGCTCTGCCGCTGGTTAGCGCTTGGTGCTTGTGTTCTCCTGGGCATTGTCTGCTGAGTTGCTCTGCGATGGCTGTGCTGTTGACCATAAACCTGGTCGGCTTCTTGTTGAGCTCCTCATGCTCCTTCACCCTCAATCCAAACTGGCATTGGTCTGCGTCGACCAGTTGGACTCCTGGCAGCTTGCGGCATCTTTCCACCCGGGGTTCATGCCAACTTCTTGCCCCCTTTGGGTGTTCAAACAGTGCGACCTTGCCTCGACGCACCTGCCACTCATAAAGCCTCATGGCGAAGTTCAAGTGTTGAACTCCTTCTTGTAGCATGACCACTGCCTTCTTCAGTGGCATCCTCCTGTAGTTCCATTCTTGAAGTATGCTGAATGGACCGCATGGAGGTGAGATGACCAGCACGTCTGGGTCTTCAGCCTCAAGCTTCCTGAAGCATCTCTCCCTGTCGGATGCTTTGGTGAAATCATACCCATTTTTCAGGTCATATGCTCCTGCCGATTGTATGCCTTGTGCTTCTGCTTGCTTGGTGACTCTTGGTTCAGAGTACACCTCGCCGATCCTCACTTGCTTCATGGCCCTTGTCAGCCTCTTCCTGCATCCTCTTTTCAGAGTGCCTTCTGCCTCGTCCAAGTAGTCTTCATCTGGGGGCTCCTCCAAAACGCCCACGAATCTACCTGGCTCATATGTGTCCGGCAAAATGCCTGGCTCATACTCCTTTGCTCCTTCTGGCCCTCTCCTCCAAAAGCCTGGCTTCACCGGCCCGGCTTCTGTGCTTCCTTCATGCCGTAACTGGCATATCAGTGCTGTGTTGTGTTGCTCCTGTGACAAGATGGGACTCATCCACGGGGCGTCGTCCCGATCCTGTCGCTCCTCGTCCTGTGGCTTCCTCACTGACCACTCTGTTGCTTCTCCATCACCTTGGTCAGTTCGGCTGTCTGTTCGGCAACTTCCTGCTGGAACGTTGGATCCTGTAATGCCCTTTCCATACGTTCCTCTCCTGCCACTGCCGTCATCCAGAGTACTTGCTGCTGCATGTGCTGTATCTGGTGAAAGTGTTGCTTCCTCTGCTCCTGCATTGCTTCCTGCTGCTGTGTGATTGCCTCTGCAACTGCATCCTTTGCCATCTCCTTCACTTGACTGAGCTCTGCAGTCACTTCCTTCAGTTGCTCCTCCTTGCTTTTCAGCTCCTGCCTCATCTGAAGGGTCTCCTCCGTGACCTGGCGTTGCGCCATGACTTCCATGCTCAGCTGTGGCCTTCCTGTCTTCAGATCCTCCTCCCATACAAACATCTGACACATCTGCCTGGGGCATCGGTAGAAGTGCATCCCCTTTGTGGGTCCCTCCTTCTTGACTGTGAGCCTGGTTGCTGGTAGCTGACATACACAGCGCACTTCCTGATGCTTCGTGGCCCCGTGTTGTGTCTGGTATAGGCTGCTCATGTGAGATGCTGCACTGCTGGAGCTGGCTGCTGCACCCTTCGCTGCTGCTGTTGTTGTGCTCTTCTTGGCCGTCGGCACTGTTGTGGAGACTTTCCAACGAGCATGACACTCCTGGCACCATACTTCCTTGCCATACCCGTTGCCCGCTCCCGCCAATGACCTCAGTGGGTGACTGCACTCCTCCACTTCTTGGGTGGGCTTCTTGGCACACTTCCTGCGGCCCACATACACTCCTTGCTGAATCTGCTGTGCATACTCCTCGTGCTTGCTTGAAGGCGTCTGTGAGTGTGTGTATGCTGCAGCTGTCTTGTATGTGCTGTGCTCCTGCGGTGGGAATGCTGGATGCTGCCATGATCCAACAACATAGCCACCGTAGTGCAATGCCTCTGCCTCTTCCTCTGCTGCATTCTTTCCCTTGACGACTTTCAGCACTCGACTGCCCAGAAGACGCCAGAGCAGTAGCGCATTGGTCGAGTCCGCACAGTGCCCCATGCTCTCGTCCCCCGACTCCGAAGGAGGCACATTGCATCGCACTGTCATGAAGAAGCGAAGACTTCGAATTGGGACGATCGTTGAAACCTTCTTGGAAACTTGCTCCAAACATGGCTGGCCCGCTCAAAGGTGATGTCAAAAATTCTTCTTCCTTCAAACCTGCCTGCTGTGCTTCAATGGGAAGCTTCCATCCTTTTTCTCCAAACTCTGTGATCGCTATGGTGGCATGTCCGGATGGCATGGTGTGCAAAGGAACTTTGACTCCAAACTTTCTGACTGTGAGTTCATGTTGTGCTAAATCGATGAGAACTTCTAGATCACGAAGCAAACGAATTGGCAGCAACAAGGGAACATCTTCTTGAACAACCGTACATTCTAGAACTCCACAAACCCCTCCAATGCCCAGTGGAATGTCTGCAACTCCAACCACTTGTGCTGGTCCACCAACACCTCTTGCCTGTGCCTTCTTGTCTTTCCAAACTACTTTCAGTCCATGACCCCCTAAGTTGATCTGCAGCCTGTCCAAAGCCTCCTTCCCAATGAGACCAGATTGAGCCGCTGTATCTACTACGCCATGCTGAGGAAGAGTAGAAATTCCACAAAAAGGAGCGGACTGTTGATGGTTCTTGTTCTTCAAAAAGTCCCCCAAAACTGGCTCACAAAATTTCCCATGACGATCCAACCAAAAGCTCGCTGCCTTTTCGTCCACCTGAGCACTGAAAAATCCAGACTTCCCGGACATGCTGCTACCTAAGGTGCTGCCCCTGGAGCTCTCTGCCTTGCTTTTGGCATAAGCGTCTGGCTGCCCTGTGCACTCCTTTGCCCAGTGACCAATTTGGCCACAACGGGCACACTTCGTCCTGAGCTTGAGCATGTCAACGTGCACTCGGCGAGCGCCAGCATCACCACGCTGGCGAAACGGTCCAGTGCCCCTTCGCTGATCTTTGCCCTTGCCCTTGTGCCATGCGCCTCGACTGTTTTTCTGCTCTCTGATTGCACGTCTGACTTCCTGGTAGGTAGCCAGTGCCTCTTGCAAATCACTTTCTTCGTAGATGTCGTTCAAATCGCCTTCTCCAATCCAGACATAGTCTTGATCATCGTCATCACCAAACATGCCATAGGAGTCTTCCATCTCCTTCACATCATCGCCGTCTTCGGCGACCACATAGGACTTGTTCTTCTGATCCCGACTGATCTTCTCAAGCTTGCGAGGACCCTTGATGATCTTCTCCCTCTCATAGGATCCTGCGCTCCACGTTGTGAGTTGGTCTTCTTGCACCTGGGTAAGACTGGCATGGCGAAAGATGACATATCCCTTGACTACGTCGTTGAGAGCGATCCCCTCATCCTTTAGATCTTTGAATGCCCCATCCATCCGAATCACATAGTCTTGAAGTGATTCCCGTGGTTTCCGATGCTCTGCGTAAATCGCCTTCTCAAAAGCTCTAGGCAAGGCTGATTCCAAGTATGGGGAAAAATGCTCTTTGAGTTTTTCCAAAATCAACCTAGATCCAGAAGATGAGGTGATTTGTTCCACTGACAATTCATCCGCTGCAGCCCTAGCGGGTCCTGTCAACTGCCTCAACATCTTGACACCGTGCTTGGCCTCTGGCAAGTCGGTCTCGAACTGCCACAAAGCTAGATCTCGCTCATATCGCTTGAAAGCTGAGGGATCACCGCCATCAAAGGCTGGAGGAAGATCTCGCTCTCGATGGAGCACAGCTGCAGTAGCGGCAGCTGATGGAGCATTGGATGTAGCGCCGGCCATGGAGCCATCTGAGCCTTCCATGGCTCCGCTACCACTGTGGGTAGCAAAGGATGATCAACGGCAACTGAATGTGCATGCAACGCCGACCTCTTTTCGTCGGAATGCTTGCGCCCCGTGGGCTTCAGATTAATAATGGTGACACGCCGGTGGACATGTCTGACATCACTGCAGTCAATGGTGTCCAATGAAGTCCAAACACTTCATGCAATCACAAGTTCAGAGAAGTTCAGTGTTTTCATTATATTCCATTATACCCTCCGGTTATCAGAGTTTCCAAATTTTCCTCACCTCCTTCCATTTGCTGGTTCCTCTCAGAATAGTGCCACCTGATTCTGCCACCGCCTACAGGACACAGCGCAAAAAAAAATGTAGGTTCTTGAGTCATGTGGGAACCCCAACTCACCATGCTGGTCTAATGAATGGATGATTTGGGGGTACCCATTTAGGAAACCTCCATATCAAGATGTATAAACATGTAAAACTATGAATTGATGAGGAAAAATCATTGGGATTTTCCCCAACAAAAAAAGGCTCGGCTGCCGGACGCAAGTGCAGATTTAAGCAACGAACATCGAAATTCATGGGGGTACGGATGGGTCCGGGAAAAAATGTCAAAAATCTTCAGAATGATGGGTACAAAATTGGATACACCGCCAACAAGGGTACCTGTTTGCAATGACCCTTTACTCATCCATGTCCGATTGCATCGATAGCCAGAGTTTTGAAACCACTAAACAATGGAAATTTACAATGTGTGCCGTGGTGGGGTCTACTCGGAGTCTACGTTCTCTGAGGATAGCACGGTGTATACCATGCCAGACACATCGAAAATGGACCGAACCCATTGGGCCACTGAAATGCCAAGGCAGAACATGCAGAACCATGTGAATATGGTGAAAAACAATATGAATTTCGTACACAATTCCAACAAAAGGGATCCCAAAATTGATGTTTCATCAAATTTGCCAATACGGAATTAACAGACTGCCAAAGCAAAATGGATATGACTCTGACTCATGTCGTTGCCAAGATTTGATGGGTTTGAATCCGAAGCCCCGGACCAAAGAAACTCCGCAGAGTTTCCATGGCGGAAACCTGAGAGGCCTCACGGCCTATCCATGGTGCTGCCACTCGTTTGCCAATGTAGCTGATATTCCCACTGTTTGCATAACACAGGAGTCCAAAAATTCAATTTTCATAGTGGCCATTGAATGAAGGAGAGGTTCTTCATTACATTTGGCATTTTACCCAGTGCCAACCAAACCACTTGAACCAAAGGGCGTTCGTGTGGATTATGTGCACCTGCCGAAAGCAACAGCAAAGGCAAGGATCATGCACGCACAAAAGAATTAACAATATAAATTTAAGGTTGTATAAAAATGTTTTCGAACAAAATTATACAATTCTGACAAGCCTTTCGTGTGGTGCGTCTGATTACCACAAGAAACAACCCCGATTTGCAAGTGTTTGAAGCAAAGAATGTTTCAATTCCAAACCAAATCGTCTTGGTTGCGACGGTGGCCACGCAAAATTTCAGTTGCCCTTCCAATTCCAGCCCAACACGTGTACAATTTTCAAACATGACATGCATGGCGCAGAGTTTTTTCAGTTCCACAACTTTGTTACCTATCAAAAACGTACAAAATTTCTACAAGAAATTTGAGATTCAGAAGGGGCCACTCATAGGCATGTTTTTTTTGAACACAAGGCTGCTAAGTACGGTTGTTTCTGCCCATGGTGCCGCGGAAGTAAAATGCCGTTTGTCTGGTGATTTTTTTTCTGTTGACGTACCTCCGCCAAACCCTGTGCTGCAGACTTTTGGACGTTCCATAAGGATCATTTAACATAAAATTTTAAATATATCTAAATTTTAAATACATATTTAAATTCTAAAAATATTTAAAATTTAAATATATTGAAATTTTAATTTTAAATATATTTAAATTAAATTTAAATATAAATATTTAAAATTTAAATGTTATTCGAACTTATTATATAATATAAAAGTGAAAATATGAATTTACATTAAATATAATTTTAAAACTATTCATATATCTAAACGATATTTCAATTTAAATATTATTCTAAATTACTATATAGTAAAACTTTAAATATCAATTGTATTGAAAATATATTATATTTGTCACATGAACGATATGTCAATTTAGATATTAAGTCGAATTTTTATTTAATAAAGGTTGAAATATAAATTTAAATTATATATAAACTATAATTATTCATATATATCTAAATGAATTATTCTAATTAAACTCTCAAGACTCTCAAAACTAAAATTGTTATATACGACTCTCAAAACCCTCAAAAATAAACTTGTTGGGATTCTGGAAACTCTCAAAACTAAAACTGTTACGACTCGCAAAACCACCACATAATCTGCTGTGATCTCGAAACTCTCAAATTATAATGAATTCTCAAAACTAGACTTCCACTCCTCAAAACAATATATGCCTATACATATATGGAAAAACAGACGTGTGCAATCTTAACGCCTTTGCCCGGGGAGGGTACCGCTGCGTCCAATCGACTCAGCAACATCTGTCATTAATTTGAATTCCTGAGATGAAAGTTTCTACTGCCCTTCTCCGTTTTGAGTTTGCCCAGATGCAAATTGTTATGCACGGTGATCCGTGCAATTAAATCCTCAAAACTAAAATTGTTCTACAACTCAAAAACCTCAAACCTAAAATTGTTGTGACTCTCAAAAACATCAACACTTAAATGTTGAACAAAATGAAGTGCATGTGCATGTGCACTCATATTCACGCAGACCTTGTGCATGCATCAGCAGGGCCCTATGCCCTATAAGCATTTTTTTCCACGCGTCGTGTTTCTGAGATCGTTTTGTACAAAACTTGAAACCTAGTCTGCCACTTTAAATACGTGGACCATAGGTTCGTTGCACAGCATGCACCAAACCATGACAAATAGAAAACCCGGGGCAGGCTTTGATGTGTGCAACACTTTGTACCATTCCACTCCATAGAACTTCACCATTGTTTCATTCTCGAGCACGCACTGGTACAGAACAGCTTCAGGTGATTCATGGCGTAAATCTTCCCACTCCGGCAGTGGACAACTGCAGATGTCGTTCGGGTCTGTCTCGATCGTCTCAAAAGAGAAATGCTTGATGGATGGCATAGCTCAAATCAAAACAGAGACACGGGCAAAAGAAATAGAAGCTAGCTAAATACCAAACAGCTGCTGGATATGATATATTGAACAGTCGCCCATCTTTCAAAGACTGCGCGCAAGCAGCAAACATTTTAAGGTAAAGAACTAAGCTGAAGAAATCTCCGGCTCAAAAAACCCTCCAGGTGCGCCCCAGACTAATTTTCGCCCCTCAGCGCGCGCGACCGTGCTCCAATTGCAATCCTAAGCGATACTTGGTCATGGTTTTGGTGATACTGGCGAGAGGCTTGGCCCCTTGAACACATTTTAGGACTAGACTCTTCACCTTTCCCATGAGGTCTTCCTGTTGCATACAACTTCCCATTGCGGGATTTACATCACACGCCCTCTGTGCTAGATGGTACAAGTCGTGAAATTTTTTTGTCATGGCAAAATAATTACCATGATCCGAAAATTCTTCCTTGAGAGCCTGGTACGGGCAAACAAATTCCAAAGCAATTTCTCCAATGCGCCAGCAACCTTAGTTTGGCAAGACTGGAGGGTTTAAAGAGATTGTGGAATTTGGAGATGGATTGAAAAGATTGGAGAGATCGTTGGTTTGGAAGAGATTGGAGGGTTTGCATCGGTTTGGAGAGCTGAGAGTGTAGCTTTGAGAGTTTGGAGTATTAGTTCTGCTACGAAACATATATATATGTGTGTGTGTGTGAGTATAGGCAACGTTCAAACGGCAAAAGTTATACATATGCTTTGGCGACCTAGGCACGTCGGGGGGTAAACAAGGGACATCTGGGTGACCTTGCACGATTTCGTCATACTCTTTTGATCTTTGCAGTACCATCTTCAAAAGGTTGTCACCTCGAGTGTTAGACTTCACAACACACCACAAAGCCAAGATTGGCTCAGTCATACTTCGGATTTGAACTGCCTTCCCTTTCAGCTGTGGAAAGGTTTTGCCAGTAGGGATGAACTTGTTCTTGGTCAAGCTGTTGATGTACGACGACAAACTCGTGGGCGCATGCCTGATAATCAAGGCAAGTCTTAATTATTTCTTAATTTATTGAGCTTAAATGGAATTGTTAAGTCCACTCAAAATCCATATATATCCAAAGTACCGTGACAGCTCCTGATGCAATGCATCAACATCGCTGTTGAACTTAAACTTCAGCATGACAGCCATGGCGCTCCCCAGAAGGTAGGCGTCCACGCCCAGCCATTTCGTATGCATTATGTCTGGGGTTACATTCAACCCGGACACGCCGGGAACAGTAAAAAGCTTCATGAGCTTTGGTGAGTCAAACCGTATTCTCCACTCTGCAGCGTTGTGCAAGACTGGCTTGCGTCTCTTGGTGATTGAAAACAAATTCTCACGTGTTGCTGGGCAAAGTTGGCAAGGCTCCAACGCATTGTGGGCAGGCAGCCCAAGCCAAGTGGGGTGCCACGCGAGGTCCGCTTGAATTTGCCAAACAGACCCAAAGTAGCCGCCTGCATGTTAAAGTAGCAAGTTAATCTCTACCGTCCTTAAATACATGTGGTGAGCGAAACTGAAAATGAGCACCTGTAAGCAAGGAAATTAAAGTTTGCGCCTGCCAACGGTTGGCCAGCTTTCTGATCTAAGATGTCTTCCCCAAGCCAATTTGTCGAAGGCCATTTGCCTGAAATGTTTAAGTTGCTCATTGATACACCTCTCAAAACCTTCGGGTAACTTATAATGATTGGACCCCAAGTGCAAACTCTCGAAAGAATTGTTATATACATCCCTCTCACAACTGTCTTGATATAGGTTTACTAGCTCTCCAAATAATGTTTTATATGCATGCTTGGTGTCCATTCTCTCTAGACACTACAACAGGTAATTTCCTAACTTCAAAGCTCTCTCAAACGTAGCCGTACGGCCTAAACAAATTCGATCCAACCTTCCCATATGATCTTCAAAGACCAGGCAATCGCGTTCCAGAATTCTGCAACAGTCTTGAACTTTTCCATCAAGTGGTTCCAACAAAGCGCTGCCACGAAGTTGCTAAATTTGGAATCAATGGCCTTGCAAATGGGCTCGGAGTCCTTTTTGTCAACGAATGCTATTGTGCGACATGCTAACATGATCTGAGGCACATCTTCCATGAGCAAGGACCTCCAAGAAATAATTTCCATACTGCGCGAGTGCGCAGATCCAATGCTCACGCACGGCACCCCATCTCCGTGAAGAGAGAGAGGTATGCCTAGACAATAGGCAGTACGCGCTCAAAACTCTAAAAAAAAATAAGTGTTCAAGTTGAATAAGATGATGACTCTCTCAAATGATATGTGATTCATATATAACTCTCAAAACTTCTACAGTGTTCAAAGTGTATAAGATGATTCATGCCTCAAAATCTATACACCCTCATTACTCTCAAACTCCTATGCATGGGGTTTCCAGGTTTACATGATTCTGTTCTCAGATCCTCAGATCTCTATGCCTTCAAAACTTTCAGAAGTCCGTCAGGGTTTAGGGTGAACTATAATTACTCTCTCGTAGCTCTATGCCCTCACAACTCTCAAAGCTCGATCACAACTCTCAAAGCTCTATGCCCTCACAACTCTCAAAGCTCGATGCCCTCACAACTCTCAAAGCTCTATGCCCTCACAACTCTCAAAGCTCTATGCCCTCACAACTCTCAAAGCTCTATGCTCTCACACTCTCAAAAATCCTACTGTGTTTTCAGGTTCAACAACACAGCTACTCTCTCATAGCTCTATGCCCTCGCAACTCTCACAAATCCTACGGTGTTCAAGTTAAACTACAAGTTTGCATATATGGTCGTCACGTCACTGGTAGATCGACGTGGGAAAAATAAAGCCGAACGACTAGGAAGGAAAAAAAAATATGCTAATCATATTTCGGCTGCACATGGACAGATCTCTCGACTCCTCACTGAGAGGGTGGTCCGTAAAGGTTTTTGTCCCCTCCACAGCATGCCAAAAAGTAGCAGCGTGCGCGCGACTTGGAAGTAGAAACTTTTGAAACGCCGATGGGTAAGAATGAAAAAGTGCCGAGAAGACCTCGTGCGGGAACATAATTGGCACCAAAGCAGTTTTCTTCTTTTTTCCAAATACAAGCGGCACTGTGATATACTTTGGCAGAGGAAAATTGTTTGCCCCAAACAATTTTTGAAGATCTCTCCAGCAGTTGTTGACATGTCTTCCATTACTGCCTAAAGCAGCAAACTTGGTGATCTCTTGCGGGGCAGCAACTCCGGCTTCTTGAAAATCCAACGATACGAGTTGACAAATTTGCTGGCATTGATGGGCACTGAGCCCACCCCAGGCTACTTGAGGAAGCAACCAATTACCCAAGTGGGTGCTGGAAGGCATGTCGCCAGGATTTGCTTCGTCTCTGGCTCGTTTTCTGCCTGTAAACCCATGGTTTGCAAAGGCCAAACTATCCGCGGTTCACAAAGCAATCTCCGCGCATGAAGCAAGCATGCAAACCTGCTAAATGTGAAGTTTCACACTGTTTTGGAAAATATTTTTTGAGTGAAATGGGAGCCGTGGTGATCATGATCTTTTGAGTGAAATGACAGTCTTGACAAAGTGTGATTTGAGAATCTTGAAAAAATGAGCGGGTATCCGAAACAAACCATGTCCATTCATGCCGTAGATGCGTCATGGGTTCTACCTCGTGGCACAAACCATACACCGGTAAATTCCTGAAGCCTATATGTTCGCAAATTCCAAGTTCTCAGGATCACAATGAAGCTCTACCATGCGATGAAGTCGAAAAGCATGAGGCAGACAATTAGTTTCAAACCGGAGCGTAGACAACGCTAGCATACTTTGGTGCAGCTTGAATTTGGTCACAGCCGCCCAAGAATGAATGGCGTCTGTACAAATCCCCAGAAGCCTTGATATGATCGCTGCGTGCAGCCTTTTTCTCATCAATCAAAAACCGTCACTCTCCAGCTGCAGCAGACTCGAGTCCATGTCAGGATCTCCTAGCAAGAACTTCAACATGTGCTTTGCTGATTTCAAGTTTTCGGGTTGCTTTCGGGGCATGTTCATCCAATGGTCTCGTCATGCGCGCCGTGTCTGCAACTGGCAGCAGCTTATCTTCAAGATCCGACTGGCCACTACTTTTAACTCTTGATACCCTTGCTATAGCAATTCTGGCTTTAGTCCATGGACAAACATGAACAAAACATAACAAAACCGTTTAGTGGCATCAGCGGGCAAGAGATTTGCCGACTTGAATCGCTTCATACAATTCCTTCAACTGATCGAACGCCTGTTGCAGCATCGCCTTGGCATTCTGTTGATTCAACTGCATGCCTGGCAGACCACGCCTGGTCACTTTGACCTGCGTCATAATGCTGTGACTGCGCTGTACAGCGGAATAGGAGGCATTCAACCTATTCAACAAATCGTTCGCCAGTCGCGAGCCGCTTGACGCTTTCTGCGTCAAATTTTGAATCACCGAGGCCGACTCATTCAAACTCTGTGAGGCAACACTCAGCGCCTCTGGGTACTAGAGCAAACAAGTTCATATGATGTTTAGCATTAAAGCAAATGGAAGACAAGAATAATAATCGTTCTCCAAAGTCTGTCCAAGTTCTAAAGTGTCATGCCTTTGCCCTCCAACCTCTCGGGACCAACACACGCCAGTGCATCAAAACGCACTGCATCAAAACATAGCTAGGTTGGTTACCTAATCTCTCGAAAGATATTCCATTGATTTCTGTACCCTAAATCTCTCGAAAGTATGAACTGCATCATGTCCTCACTCTCAAAACCCTCACAACCCTCACAAATTCGATCACAACCCTTAAAATTCTTTCACAGCCTCATATTCCTAATTCTCACAACTCTCGAAAGATATTCCATTGATTTCTGTACCCTAAATGGCTCGAAAGTATGAACTTCTCTCAAAACCCTCACAACCCTTAAAATTCTCTCAAAATACTCTGAAAATCTTTTTAAATTCTCTCACAACCCTCAAAATCCTCTCAAAACCATCGCAAGACCTCTCAAAAACCATCAAACATGTATCTATAAAGTCTCAAGTTTAGTGCCTCTTAGGCATGTCCTAACTTTCCATACTATCCTGCAAATTCACTCAAGGCTCTCAAAACTACTAACCTATATTGTTCCTGGGCTATATCGCTCCCAAAATATCCAACACAGGCGCCTGGCCTCGTCCAGCTTTTGCCACAGCTGTTGCGGCAACTCTTCAGAAATCAAGCCCATGCATCCACCCGTTGGCGATCCATCCCCGATCATTGGAGGTGACTGGTTTCCAAAAGGTGCCTGTGGCTGGGAAATACCACCAAAGCCCAAAGCTGGCTGCTGGAACGTCGGAAGGCCCGAACCCATAGCCGTGAGAGAAGCACCCTGAGGCTGCAAGCTGGAAAAATCCAACGCGGCCCACAGCCCATCAAACACACCCGAACCGATGCCCGTAGAACCGGTCCCAATGGTAGTGGCATGATCCATCTCAACACCTTTGCTGACAACCTCCTCCTCCTCCCACTGGTAAAGAGTTTTCCCAGTGGTACTGCTTTTGATCTCACGGATCTCACCGTTCTGCAGGGCCACCTTCAAGGCGTCAAAGCTCCCGCACTTTTGGATGGCCCTGAAACGAGGCACCGCACGGTTCAGGTTGCCGTAGTGTTCCTTGTCATGCCTTCATGGGTCATTAAATGTCACCACTGAACATCACCCAACCATGAGGTATCTCATCTGTAATTGCCATTCAAAGGTGATGTCCAATAGCCCCAAAATGGTACATTTACCAATCCTTGCCTTTGGCGGCTCTTCTCAATCGAAGAGTTATCGAGCACGAACGTCCATTTTCCTTCGACCTTGCGCATCCGGGACATGAGCCATTGGGTCACTTCCACCCGCTTCGCGGATTTGTTGACCCGCTGCCACTCTTCCTTCACGTGCGCAGGCACGCCAGGGAACAACCGCTTAAACGCCATTGCGGCGACTCGGTTTCTCTTGGTTTCTTGCTCCTCCTCCCCTGGCTCTATGTCACTGGCCTGAAACAGAAACAGCTCTCTATATCTCTCTTTCTCTAATAGCAGGGAGCATGTGAATATAGCCTAAAACCACGTCCTGCCTGACAGTCATCTTCCTCGTCATCATCACTGTCTTCTTCTGTGTCTTCTTCTTTTGCTTTCTTCGCCTTTTTTGGCTCATCCTCTTCGTCCTCAATCTTGAAGTTCTTGAAGAAATCGGCCGCCTTCACTTTCTTCTTAGGCTGTGGCTTGGCTTCTGGCTGTGGCTTCTCTGCCTTGTCGTCTTTGGGAGCCTTCTTCTGCTTCTTCTTGGGCTTAACAGCCTTCTCCTGATTCTTCTTGTCAGTCTTCTCTTTATTTTCCTTCTTCTCCTGCTTATCCTTCTTCTTGTTGTCTTCCTTGCCATCCTTCTTACTTTTCTTTTTCTGTGCGGCTGGCTTTTCTACCTCTGGAGCCTCTGCTGCACTGCTTGCCTTTCTGCGCTTGTTTGGGGTGCTCTCTGCCGGTTCTTCCTTGACTCTCTGGCCCGTGTTTGACGCACACTCCTCCTCCTCCTCCCCCCCCTCCTCCTCCTCTTCCTCATCCTCTGCATCCACCTGCTGCTCGTCATCAACCTGCGGAGGTTTAGACTTACCCGTTGGCTTTGCAGCCGTTTTGGCTGCAGCCTTTTTGGCTGCAGCCTTTTTGGCTGCAGCCTTTTTGGCTGGAGCCTTGGCCTTGGCAGCCTTTGCTTTTGTCTTGGGCGCCGCCTTTGCTTTTCCACTTTTGGCAGCAGCCTTTGCGGCAGCCTTTGGAGGCTTCTTCTTTTTACCTTCTGGTTTCTCTACCTCGGCCTCGGTCTGGTCTTCGGCCTGTTTTTCCTCCGCATCTTCATTTTCTCCATTATCCTTTTCCTTGCCTTGACGTTCTTCCACCTCTTCTGCTTCTTTGCTCTCATCATCCTTCTTGCCTTCTTCGGGATCATTCCCTTTGTCGTTCTCTTCCTTTTCAACCATGGCTCTCACACTTTCTGGCCCTACCTTTTGGGTTATACTGAGAGCCAAGCTTAGCGAGGCCACATACATATGAAATACACACATAAAAACCCGAATCTCTCCAATCTAAACCTGCCCCGACTAGCCCTCACCTTTGACTTTCAAACCCAAGCTTCACCCTTAGACCAAGTGAAGTACACCTGCACTCTCCAAACTCTCAAAGCTACTCTCTCTCAGCTCTCCAAACCTATGTAAACAAGTTAAACTCTCAAAGCTACACTCTCTCAGCTCTCAAAACCGATATAAACCGTCCAAACTCTCAAAGCTACACTCTCTCAGCTCTCCAAACCTATCTAAACTTAAGTTAAACTCTCAAAGCTACACTCTCTCAGCTCTCAAAACCTATGTAAACCGTCCAAACTCTCAAAGCTACACTCTCTCAGCTCTCCAAACATATGTAAACAAGTTCAATTCTCAAAGCTACACTCTCTCAGCTCTCCAAACCTATGTAAACAAGTTAAACTCTCAAAGCTACACTCTCTCAGCTCTCCAAACCTATTTAAACAAGTTAAACTATCAAAGCTACACTCTCTCAGCTCTCAAAACCTATGTAAACCGCCAGTCATTTCATCGTCCTCAAGTCGCCTGATGGCTCTTTCCATCATCCCATACAAGCATTCCCGGCTCCATCCTTTCCCTGCAAATTCGAAAATTGTAAACCGTCCAAACTTTTAGGAACAGAAGCTGCCAACCTTTAACTTCAGGGTTTAGGGGATTAGGGGTTAAGGGTTGAATTACGTGTTCCTTTTTAATTAACTAATCATTTTTCATTTCTTTTAAGAACAGAATGCTGCCCATTTTTTAACTTCAGGGTTTAGGGTTTAGGGTTGAAATACGTGTTCCTTTTTAATTCACCAATCATTTGTCATTTCCTTTAGGAACAGAATGCTGCCCATTTTTAACTTCAGGGTTTAGGGTTTAGGGTTTAGGGTTGAATTACATGTTCCTTTTTAATTAACTAATCAAGTTTCATTTCTTTTAAGAACAGAATGAAATACGTGTTCCTTTTTAATTCACCAATCATTTGTCATTTCCTTTGGGAACAGAATGCTGCCCATGTTTAACTTGAGGTTTCTGACTTCATGGCTAGACGTTTAGGGCCTGGGGTTGAAGTTTCGCTCCTAGTGTAGGGATTGTTTTTGTTTAGTGTGTCCTGGAACAGAATGATTTTGGGAACAAATTAAAGCTGCCTTCTCGAATTCACCCCAAAACAACTCGAAATAATGGTGGAAACCAAAGGCTGAACAATATATCCCAAGCGGAATGCTCAAACTGAAGCACAATGCAGGCGTTTACCAAGGTTCGTTTTGAACGTTTTGCAATCTCCGATCTCAAAATGTGAAGCAGAAATGGGTATGAAACGTTGAGGCATGTAGTCAGGTTATCTTCGAAAATTTCAATGTGAAAATTCCAATGGCGAACTACCGTTTGAAACTTCAATGTGAAACTTCAATCTGAAAAGTTCAGCGCGTTGAACTTTCAAGTCAAAACTTCAATGTAAAACTTCAATCTGAAAAGTTCAGCGCATTGAACTTTCAAATCAAAACTTCAGTGTGAAACTTCAATGCATTGAACTTTCACATCAAAACTTCAGTGTACATTGAACTTTCACATCAAAACTTCAGTGTACATTGAACTTTCACATCAAAACTTCAATGTAAAACTTCAATGCATTGAACTTTTAAGTTAAAACTTCAATGCATTGAACTTTTGACATTGAAGTTTTGATATGAACGTTCAATGCACTGAACTTTTCAGATTGAAGTTTTCAGAACAAAACTATCACAACTTTTTCTTTTGCAAAGTGCCAGCGCCATCCAAAATCTTCAGGCTCTTATGCGTTGAAACCAGCAACTCAAAAAAATATCCAAAGTTATTTAATACATGTCTGTGAATACACTTACGTGCTTTCAAAAATACTGTCAGACATGCTTTGAACAAATACATATGTTTAATAGAAGCTGCTCTCAAAAAATTAAATCTAGACCCGCGGTCCTCTCACCAAGTCACCAGAAAGGTCCTCGTTTGAACAAATTGAAACACTTGAAGCTGGCTCACTCAAAATAAAAGCGCACACAAGATTGAAAGTTGCATTCTCCACTCGAAACAATAAAGCAACTTTCCAGTCTCCTTTGGGTGTCTCCAAGATGGCATTCTGGACTGAATTCTTATATCGTAGCCTCATAGCATGATCTAGGGTACTCATGAAGCAAGCAGAATTGTTTTGTGTATTTACAGAACTCAATCCTTTGTATTTATTAAAGCGTAAGATTAAAGAAAACATCTGAGCAAGCTCACCACCTGTGTTCTTTCTTCAAGCCTTGGAATCAGTGATGCTCATTGTGAATATTTCCAAACTATCATGACTCTCAAAAATATTTCCAAACTCTCACAACTCTCAAGAATATTTTCAAAGTCTTATGACTCTCGATGATATTTTCGAATTCTCATGACTCTCAAAAATATTTCCAAACTCCCATGACTCTCAAGAATATGTTGAAACTCTCATGACTATCGATAATATTTTCAAGCTCTCATGACTCTCAAAACCAACAACTGGAACACTGGTAAAACATGCAAATGATACTTAATCATTTCAAAACCACTTCCAGGAACTCCTGTTCAGCTTTCAGCTTTCGTCATGTCATCGCCTCCCAATGGAGTAGTTCAATGCAGTGCTTACATATGAGTTTAAAAGCGCGACTAATTCTCACATGCATTAATCTCAGCAAATAAGTTTCAAAATCACCTGCGTCGGGCTTGGCCTCAATGCCACCATGGCCTCCCAATGCAGTATAGCTCAATGGCTTATCGTAAACAAAAAAGGCTACGGTCCCACAAACATCAAATCTATATATATATATTAGCAATTTTCCCCTTGGGGCTGAGTTTTAACAAGTGACCTGAGGACCATTTTTTTGATAATAAAAAAGGGTCTCCAGGTCACTTGTTAAAACTGTCCGAAAAGGGCCAATGTATACACCAAGAAATTGGCAATATGTATATATATATATAATAAATATATATATATATATAAATCTCAACAAGTTCCACAATCACCTGCTTTGGGCGTGGTGTCAATGTCAGCATTGCCTCCCAATGCAGTATAGCTCAATGGATAATCGTAAACAAAAAAACCTACGGTCCCACAAGTCTGAAATCTATATATATATACATAAATCTCAACAAGTTCCATCAGCACCTGCTTCGGACATGGTTTCAATCTCAGCATTGCCTCCCAATGCAGTATAGCTCAATGGATAATCGTAAACAAAAAAACCTACGGTCCCACAAGTCTGAAATCTATATATATATACATAAATCTCAACAAGTTCCATCAGCACCTGCTTCGGACATGGTTTCAATCTCAGCATTGCCTCCCAATGCAGTATAGCTCAATGGATAAAAGGTTACGGGCCTACAAGTCTCAAATCTATCTATTTATATATATATATATATAGATAGATCTCAACAAGTTCCAAAATCACCTGCGCCGGTCTCGGTGCCAATTGCAGCTTCGCCTCCCAATGCAGTAGCTCAATGGATTAGCGTAAACAAAAAAGGCTACGGCTACGGTCCCACAAGTCTCACATCTATATCCATTAATCTCAGCAAGTTCCACAATCACCTGCTTTGGGCGTGGTGTCAATGTCAGCATTGCCTCACAATGCAGTATAGCTCAATGGATAATCGTAAACAAAAAAGGCTACGGTCCCACAAGTCTGAAATCTATATATATATATATTTATATATATAGATATATATTATTTATACATAAATCTCAACAAGTTCCATCAGCACCTGCTTCGACGTTGGTTTCAGTCTCAGCATTAAGATCGCCTCCCAATGCAGTAGCTCAATGGATTATTGTAAACAAAAAATGGTTGCGGTCCCACAAGTCTCAAATATATATATATACATATCAATCTCAACCAGTTCCAGAATCTCAAAGCTCTTTGTCCTCACAACTCTCAAAACTCCTACAGTGTTTTCAACATCCACTCACAACTCTCAAAACTCCTACAGTGTTTTCAACATCCACTCACAACTCTCAAAACTCCTACAGTGTTTTCAACATCCACTCACAACTCTCAAAACTCCTACAGTGTTTTCAACATCCACTCACAACTCTCAAAACTCCTACAGTGTTTTCAACATCCACTCACAACTCTCAAAACTCCTACAGTGTTTTCAACATCCACTCACAACTCTCAAAACTCCTACAGTGTTTTCAACATCCACTCACAACTCTCAAAACTAGTGCAGTGTTCAAGTTGAACAAAATGACCAAAGCCTGCAGATTGCTCTCCTGTCGACTGGGCACCTGCTGGAAGAACTAAACTGGAGCATACACTCCTCAAGTGCTTGCACCCTCAAAAGGTCTAAAAACTCAAGGATACCTCTCTAAATCTCTCACAACTAGTAGAATTAGAAAGAAATATGCTCGGGCCTGATGGAAAGAATCTTGCCACAAGTGAACCTACAGTTGTCACACTGACTGTGACTATATGCGCAATGCTGACGTTTGCAACAGCTCTTGGCAAAGAAACCGAGATAGTGCCTGGAAGATCAGGCAAGTCATCTGGGTTGCACTCGTTCCAAATGTTTCCTGGAAATTAAACACATATCATATATCTCTTGTGCATCTTTATTGTTAATGATTGCAAACGCACTATAGCATCTCCTTGGCCTTTGTCCTTCAGTGAACCTCTCAAAAGCGCTTCAGACCAAAACCAAACCGGCTTAGACAATGCGCGATGCGCTGAAAACTGTGCCTTGCCTTTGCGCTTGTAAAATGGAACGGCACCCTTCTTGCCCTTGATCTTACCAGCCGCCTTGCCTTTGAAAGACAACGCAAACAAATCCAAACATGAAAACCAAAACATTGCACACCTTCGGTCTTTCGACGCTTCGAAGGCGGAGATTGCACCGGCAATCCTGAATACTTACCCTCGCTCTCA